ACAGGGCAACCAGACTAGACACTACACGAGAAGAGGCCTCACTAACGTCTTATACAACCTCAACATGACATCCCAACTCCTGTACTCATAGGTCTAAGCAACGAAGGCAAGCATGCTAAATGTTTTCTTAATCACCTGTCTACACGTAACACAAATTTCAACGAGCTATGTGCCTGAATCCCTAGGTGTCTCTGTTCTACAACACTACCCGAGCCCCTACTTTTAACTGTAGAAGTCCTGCCTTGTTTGTTTTATCAAAACACAATACCTCGCATGTATCCAAATTAAAGTCCATCTGTCACTCCTCAGTCCATTGACCCAATTGCTCAAGATTTCTTTGTAATCTCAGATAACCTTCTTCACTGTCCACTACACCACCAATTTTGGTGTCATCCACAAGCTTACTAATTATCCTTTCTATATTCTCATTGTTGAATACTTCAATGCAGCTTAATTAGTTCGTGCACAGAATCCAACAGCACAGGAGGAGGCCATTCAGCCTGTTCGTTTTGACACGTGACGGTTCACTTGGATGGTCACTTTTGCATGCAGAGATTAAGAGCTATGGATAATGATGGTAGAAGCTCCATTGTTCCTTCCATCACTTGGTAGACGAGCACTCGCTCTTACTGCCTGATATTGGAACATGTTGAAGGGATTTATTCAACCTGTGTTACAAATGTTCCTTCCATGGCCATTGGACTCTGGGATGGGACTCAAACCTGGAGTTCAGAGGCAGGGAGGCTGCTCACTGTGCCACAAGATCTAGGGCCTATTGGTAGAATTATCCAATCAGCTGCAGTTGCTACTCTTTCCGCAAATTTTGCTTTTTGAATTTTTTAATTGCTCATATCTCCCTCTGATTGTTTACCATTATCATCAATCTATATCCTTTGGTTACTGACCCATTGCCACTGGAAGCAATTTCTCTGTGTCTGTTCTGTCAAAGCCTTTTGTAATTTTGAACATCTCTGCTAAATCATTCCTTAACTTCCTTTGCCATGATGAGAGTCATCCCAGTTTCTCTCGTCTCAGAAATCCTTCATCCTTGGTGAAACAGGGAATATAGGAGCAGGAGTAGGCCATTCAGCCCTTCTAGCCTGTTCCACCATTCTAGATCATGGCTGATCATCCACCTCAACGCAATATAGTATAGACCAGACCAGATTCCCTCCCAAAGTATATTATGGAGATAGCCGCAGGTGTAAGGTGCTGTGTTCCAGATATGGTTCCAGATATATTGTCTACCACTAAGCTTTAATCAAAACACACTTTTTTCTCACAACACTGTTAAAATATAACAAAAATAAAAATTGGCATGACTTTACTCTATTGAAATACTTAACGAGATAATGAATTATTTCATCACTAATCATAAACTGTTCAAATACAGATAGTATCCCATAAACACACCCTTGGCAAATGCAATTCAGCAACACAGTTATCATCCTCATGTGCTGTCTCTCTCCAGTCCAGTAGAATGAAACACTGAATCAAACAATTTGCCCCTTTTGATTTTTTTAAGAGTCATACAACATGGAAACAGACCCTTCAGTCTGACCAGTCCATGCAGACCACGTTCTCAAACTAAACTAGTCCCACCTGCCCGCTCCTGGCCCATGCCCCTCCAAACCTTTCCTATTCATGTACTTATCGAGATGTCTTTTAAATGTTGTAATTGTAACCCCAGATCCAGTACTTCCTCAGGAAGTTCATTTCACACGCGAACCACCCTCTGTGTAAAAACATTTGCCCCTCACGTTTTTTTTAGATCTTTCCTCTCACCTTAAAAATATGCAGCCCAGTTTTGAAATCCCCCATCCTAGGGAAAAGACAACTACCATTAACTCTATCTGTACCCCTCAGTATTTTATATACTTCCAGCCTATCCAACTTTTCTTTATAACTCATACCTTCCATTCCAGCAACATTCTGGCAAATCTTTTCTGAACCCTCACCAGCTTAATAATATCTTTCCTATAACTGAGTGATCAGAACTGGACACAATATTCTAGAAGAGGCCTCACCAATGTCCTGTACAACTTGGACATGACTTCCTAACTCCTATACTCAAAGGACTGAGCAATGAAGGCAAGAGTGCTAAATGCCTTTTTAACACCCTGTCTATATGGGAAGCTTTACGAACTAGGGAGAGGAAAAGCAAAGTCCCATGGATGCTGGAAATGTCAAATAAAAACAGAAAATGTGAGAGAAACTCAGCAGGTCTGGCAGCTTCACTTTGCCTCTAATATGATTCTTCCTCAGAATGAGGGGACTCTATTTTAAAATTCAGTGTTGTCCTTTTAGGATGGAGATGGGAGAAAGTTTTTCTCTCAGAGCGTGGGACTTTGGAACTCTGCCTCAGAAGGCTACAGGAAGGATGTGATAGCGTTGATTGGCATACAATAGGAAAGATGCGATCACACTAGAGAGGGTGCAGATGTTGCCTGGCTGCAGTGATTCAGCTATGAAGAGAGACCAGATAAGTTGGGGTTGTTTGCCTTCGGGGAGAGAAGGCTGAGGAGGGATCTGATTAGAACATAGAGCAGTGTAGCACAGGAACAGGCCCTTAGGCCCACCACATTTGTGTTGACCATGATGCCATTCTAAACTAATCCTATCTGCCTGTACATGGTCTGTATTCCTCTATTCTCTGCATGTTCTCTGTCTAAATGCCTGTTAAATGTTGCTATCTTTGCTTCTATGTTCCGGGCACCTACTGCCCTCTACGTCAAAAAAAACTTGCCTTGGATGTCTCCTTTAAACTTTTCCCTCTCACCTCAAATCAACGTCCCGTAGTATTTGACATTTCCACCTTGGGACAAAGACTCTGACCACCCATCCTATCCATGACTGTCATAATTTTATATACTTCTGTCAGGTCACACCTCAGCCTCTGACTCTGCAGCAAAAACAATCCAAGTTTGTCTAACCTCTCTTTATAGCTAATACACTCCAGGCAACCTCCTGGTGAGCCTCTTTTGCACCCCTAAAACCTCCATATCCTTCCAACAGTGTAGCGACCAGAACTACACACAATACTCCAACTGTGGCTGTAAAGTTATATACAGCTGCAACATGACTTATCAGTTTTTATGCTCAACGTTCTAACTGATGAAGGCAACCATGCTATACACCTTTTTTTACCACCTTATCCATTTGTGTTGCTATTTTCAGGGAGATATGGACTTGCATCCCAGGGTCCCTCTGTATGTCGGTGCTCCTAACGCTTTTGCCATTTCCTGTATACTTTTCTCTTGCATTTGATCTCCCAAACTGCATCACGTTACACTTAAGGGGAGGTGATGGGTTAGTGGTGGTGAATGGGTTTGAATACATCCATGACACACAATGGAATTTGAATACAAGTTTTAAAAAAAATCTGTAATTAAAAGTCTAATAATGATCACAAATCCATTGTTGGTTATCCAAAAAAAAAAAAAATCTGGTTCATTAATGTCTTTCGGGAGGGAAACTGCCATCCTTACAGGGTATGGCCTACACGGGAGTCCAGACCCACAGCAACGTGGTCGGCTGTTAACAGCTCTCTGGACAGTGAGGGATGGGGCAATAAATGCTGACCTAGCCAGTGACACTCACATCCTGTGAATGAATTTTAAAAGAAAGCACTTGTCTGGATTAAAATTTCATCTGCCTTTCCTCCATCCAAATTTCAAACTGAGGTGTACAAAGTTCTGAGTTCATAGTCCGGGAGAAATCTTCCCTCTTATTTGAGGGGTCAGTAACCAGGGGCGTAATCTTAAGATAAAAAGCAGGTGGTTTACGGGGGATATGAGGAAATTATTTCCTACCCAAAAGGTTGCATTTATCTGGAGCTCACTGCTTAAGAGGCTGGTAGAGGCAGAAAGCTTCAAGGCATTTAGGAATTATGTAGGTGAACAGTTAAAGGAGGTTACAGGTAAAGTGCTTGAACATAGGATTAGATTACATTAGGTGGATGTTTAATGACTGGCATGGACCAGGTGGGACAAAAGGCCTCCTTTTGTACTGTAAATACGCTGTGACTATAAGGTGGAAGCAGGATCATTTAACTTTTTTAAATGCAGGAAACCAGATTCTTATTAGGCAAGGAGATCAAAAAACTTTTGGATAGTTAGGAATGTGGAATTTAAAACACAAATCAGCCAAGATCTTATTGAATAGTCGAGGCAGAACAGCTTGAAGAGCCAATTGGCCTTCTGCTGCCACTGATTTTGTGCATCCTATTTTAGGCCTACACTCAGTATCCTAGGTTAGGCCTACACTCATTGGAGTTCAGAAAAAATGAGAAGTAACCTTATTGAAACATATAATATTCTGAGTGACCTTGAAAGGCAAGATGCTGAGATGTTTCTCTTTCTGGGGGCAACAGAAGTAGAAAGGGCCTCCAATTTAAGATGGAGTTAACGAGACAGCCTATTGGTATTATCGCTGGATTGTTAACCCAGAGACCCAGGTAATGTTCTGGGGACTTGGGTTTGAATCCCACCACAGTGGAATTTGAATTCAGTAAAAACCTGGAACTAAAACCTGGTCTAAGGATGACCATGAATCCATTGTTGGGGAAAAACCCGTCTGGTTTACTGATGTCCTTTACAGAAGGAAACTGCCATCCTTACTTGGCTACAATTGACTGCAGACTCACAGCAATGTGGTTGACTCTCAACTGCCCTGTGCAAGTAGATACGGGCTGTAAATGCTGGCCTGGCCTGCGATGCCACATCCTGTGAATGAATTTTTAAAAAAGGAGCGCCGAAAATCTCTAGAATTCACTTCCCCAGTGAGCAGCAGAGGTTGGATCGGGACATACATTTAAGGCTGAGTCAAACAATTTTTTTTATTTAGTCATGGGATGTTGGCTTCGCTGCCTGGCCAGAATTTTATTGCCCGTCCCTAACTGCCCGACAAGATGGTGGTGAACTGCCACCTTGAACCGCAGCAGCCCACTTGCTGTAGGTTGATCCACATTGCCATTAGGGAAGGAATGCCAGGATTTTGACCCAGTGAAGGAACGGTGATATATTTCTAAGTGAGGATGGTGAGTGGCTTTGAGGGGACTTTGCAGGTGGTGGCTTGATCTGTATGAGGGAGTTGACACTTATCATGGGCAGATGGCAAATAGCAGTAAAAGTTTACAGTCGTAATCTGGCAGAGAAGAGGAGCCGAATTTCCAGGTGAAAGGAAGGATTCCTCCTGCATCCTGCCTGTATGTGTTAGCAACACTGGGTATACCCTGGTCCACCTGAAGATGTCGTCTGATGCACCCTTCCCTGTTATTTCTCCTCCCCACCCCTGTTAGCAATTGGAGGATGTTGTCTGTTATTTCTTTCTCCTTCTCCCTCCTCAGATCCCTCTGCCCAGCTATGGCGTCTGACGACGTGGTGAGGTTTCAGTTCCCGAGCCACGAGGTGACCATCCTGAAGAAGATGAACCAGCTGCGGCTGGAGGAGCGCTTCTGCGACGTGACCATCGTGGCGGACCAGCTGCGGTTCCCAGGCCACCGGGTGGTGCTGGCCGCGTGCTCGCCGTTCCTGCGCGACCAGTTCCACATGAACCCATCGCAGGAGGTGCAGGTCTTCCCCATGACCGGCGCCCAGATTGTGCTGCGCCTGCTGCTCTCGTGCTACACCGGCCGCCTCGAGTTCCCCTTCAATGACATCCTCGACTACCTGACGGCTGCGAGCTGCCTGCAAATGGAGCACGTGGTTGAGAAGTGCCGCCAATCGCTGTCGCCGCGCATCGGGCCCCGCGTGACCCCGTCCGAGGGCGTCGAGGAGGGGCCCGGCACGCCGCAGATTGCCAGCTCGTCGGAGCGGGCACCGGATGCCGACAGGACGGCCGCCTGGGAGGCTGCGGCGGCGCCGGAGGAGAAAGTGCCGAGGCGGACGCCGGCCGACGATGTGGTGAAGCTGGAGTCAGAGCAGCGCTCGGATTTCGGCGGCACCGAGGACATCTGCATCCACAAGGTGGAGTCGCTGGCCGACTGCATGGAGGGCTGCCCGGAGCCGGAGGGCAAAGCGCGGGGCCCTGAGGCCGCCAACGGCCTGGAGCCCGATCCGGGCATCCACTCGACGGCGGGCGGCTACCCGGACGCCGGCGGCCCCCCCTACGACATGTCGGAGGTGATGATCTCGGACGAGTTCCAGGAGGAGGACTATGAGAGCTCGGCCAGCGAGGAGTGCCGCAGCAGCGGCTTCGCCAGCAACTATTACCGGCCGGGAGAGGAGCACCCGCCGCTGGCGCCACAGCAACAGCCGCCGCCACCGCCTCCCGCCGCCGCACTGGCGGGACTGGGCACCAAGGAAGGGGAGTCAGCGCGCAGTCCTGGCCTGTGCTCGGAGTGTGGCGCGCCGTTCGAGCACCGCGAGCACCTGGCCGCCCACATGGTGGTCCACAAGCTCTACATGTGCCTGCTGTGCGGCAAGGTGTTCAAGAAGAACGCGCGGCTGGCACAACACATCAATGTGCACACCGGCTTCAAGCCGTACTGCTGCGCGATCTGCGGCCGCACCTTCACGCAGAAGCGCTCGCTCAAGGACCACATGAACGTGCACAACGGAGACTCGCCGCACTGCTGCAACTACTGCGACATGCGCTTCACCCACTACAGCACCCTGCGGGTCCACCTCCGGGACCAGCACGGCAAGACCACCACACGCAACATGGAGAACAAGCCCGCCGAAATCAGCCTGGTGGTGCCTTAGCAATTGGTTTTACCCACCCAAACCCCCCCCAACCCAATTCCCCCCTATCCTTGTTTCCCCCCCCTTCCTCCCCTCCACCACACTCTTCACCCCATCATCTCAGAATCTCCATCCTTCCCCACCCTATATCCCATCCAACTTCTCTCCCGATCCCACCCGAATGGCCTCCTGTCAAAAAAGAAGCACCCCTTTTTTTAAGACAACTTCGCAGTGCAGCCAACCCGATTAACGGCACACAGTTTTGTCCCGATTGACCTATTCCAGTCAATGGAGTCTCCACCAAATTCTTTGTCCACCTGCTCTTGTCTGTCTCAGTTTTTTTAACCGACCGGCCTATCCTCACCATTGCCCGGTTTGTTTTATTTTGTATGTCTCCGTGACAGGAAACACCTCTTTTGTGTAATCTATATTTTTATTGCAAAAAATAATAATTTGTGATTTTGAAAAAAAAAGCAAAAATCATTTCTTTTTAAAACCTCCTGTTGCGCGAGTTGTTAATTTGTCAGGTGCTGGGAACGTAGGGCATTGTTCCTCAGAGTGGGATTTATTTCTCTGAGGGCTTTTATGGTGGTCTTTTCAGTTATCAGGGCAGGTAGTTGCCACGCAATCTAACACTCCATCATAAGCACAATTTCCAAATCGTACAGCCTGTACATGAAGTTGTAGGGGTTCCTGCTGTCACTGTCATAGCTTTTGCGATCAGATTTTGTTCACAACATTGCAATCAATATTGAAGAGCCACTGACTGCTGTTTGAGTTTTTGAGGGGGTAGGGGCTACAGCAGATTCAAGGTCACCACTCCCCTGGACTTCATGGAACAGATGGAGGCCATTCAGCCCCTAGAGCCTGCCTTGCTATTCCATATAATGCTTACAGTGCAGATAGGGTCATTCAGCCCATGGAGTCTACACTGCCCCTCTGAAGAGCATCCCACCCAGAAATGCCCCTACCCCAACCTCAGAACAACACATGGGTTTTTACCTCACGGCTAATCCACCTAACCTGCACATCTTTGAATATTTACAGGGCAATTTTAGCAAGGCCAATCCACCTATCCTGCACATTGTTGCTGTGGGAGGAAACCCATGCAAAGACTGGGGAGAATATGCAAACTTCACACAGTCACCCAATGCTGGGACTGAACCGTGTCCCTGGAACTGTGAGACAGCATTGCTAATCATTGTGCCACCATGACAATCTCATTTGATAAGATTGTGACTGATCCTACGCCTAACTCCAAACACGTGCCTTTGCCCTTTATCCTTTGATACCTAACTAAAACATATCGCTCTCAGATTTAAGATGAGCAATTAATCGAGCATCAATTGCTATTTACGGATGAGGATACCTACTGTGATCTATGTACCTAGATGTGTTTCCTAATTTTGCTTGTGAAAGGTTTAACTCTTACTTTTTAAACAGTGACCCTTCATTTTTGACTCCCCACCCATCAGAAATAGTTTTTTTTCTCTTATCTACCTGACCTGTTGCCCTTAACATTGTGAAAACTTCAATCAACTCAGCTGTATCCCTCTGAATTCCAGGGAAAACATCTCTAGTTGTTGTAAAATCTGATGGGATTCAACTTTCAGAGTCCAGCTATCATTCTAGTGAAGCTACCCTGCACTCCCATTGTAAACCTCCAGAAGTGTGATATCCTGAACTCCTCACTGTTACTCTTGGTGTGCTCTAACCTGGTTCTTATATAGCTGAAGTCAGACTTCCAACTTTTTGTATTCCTGTCCTCCAGATATAAAAGGCCTGCCTTCTGTTAGCTTTTGGTTTGATTGTTTTCTGTACCTGTTCATGACATTCTAATGAGCTTTGGAACCTAGGCTTTCAAGTCTCTTCAGATCCACACTGTTTCCAGCTTTTCACCATCATAGGGAATAAACCAGCAGTTCTCACATCCAATAAGGAATTAAAAAAAAGACAAATTCAGATGCTATAGGTGGGTATCTAACCAAGGCTGAAGTATCATTTCTTCCCCTTTCATGCCATCCATTAGCTTTTGATTTGTTCTGATCATTCTTAGTATCCATCTGCTGGATTTAAATGATCCATCTATTGAATTTCAAAATCCTTTAAGACTATGTATAATCTCTCAGAACCTGTTGTCTTTAAACTGGAGTTTTCCGAATACCGGACTTTTTAGAATGTGTCATGCATCTTTTTTTTAAAAATAGTATTTGTTCAATTAAAATTAATTAATGCAACAATTTGGCTAGAAACTGCAGCATGTAGGATATGCAAAGGAGATGTATAGATTGGTATCTTGAATGAGCAGGTTATGACAGAAGGTTGAACAGGGCTTGTTTCTATTTGAGTTTAGAAGAGTGAGGGGTCACTTGATTGAAGTATATAAGATTCTGAACAGTTGTAACAAGGTGGACATAAAAAAAATGTTTCTTCTTGTGGGTGCATCCAGAACCAGTGGGCACTGTTCGAAAATTAGGTTTGCCCATCAAGGCAGAGATGAGGAGAAACCCTTTCTCTCAGAGGGTTGTGCGACTTTGGAACTCTCTGCCTCAGGAAGGTGTCATTGTTTTAAAAATATTCAGAGGTGGTTAGATTCTTGTTAGGCAAAGCAAGAGTTGTTCAAAATCATGAAGGGTCTGGACAAAGTATTTGGAAAAACTACGGAAAAACGATTGATGGAAGGATGTACATCCAGAGGGCACAGACTTAAGGTAATTAGCAAAAGAACCACAGTGACATGAGAAACAACTTTTTTTATGCACAGCAAATTATTAGGATCTAGAATGCAAGAAGAGTGTGGTGGAGGCAGATTCAATAATGGCTTTTAAAATAATTATTTGAATAGGAAAACAAAATATAGGGTCAGGAAGAAGAATGGAAGAGGGGGGCTTGGTGGTTTTCTCTTGCAGAGAGCCAGCACAGCCACAACGGGATGAATGTGCTGTAACGCTTCCATGATGCAACACTCTATTCCTTTTCCCACCCATTATTAAATATGGTGATATGCTTTGGGTCCCAACACAAAACACTAGGGACACCAATTGCCACATTCTGTCAATTGCTTATTCTCAGTGTATCCTGTAATTTTCCCAAATGATCCCAGAGTGATATGTTGGTGAATGCACTCTGGAAGTCATCCATAACATTCATGGGCACTCCCTTATCTACCCTATTACTGATCTGATTCCTAGGTTGGTGGGACTGTTATATCAGTGGTGATTAGGGACCCTGAGTTTATATTTAGAAGGATGAGAGGTGATCACATTGATGCATGTAAAAGATACAACAAGGATATCTCCGTTGTTTGGGAAGTCAGGAACCGTTGGAGGACAGTCTTAGAAGAGATGGACTTTAAACAGGTTGAGACTCATTAGAATGTAGAAGAATGAGAGAGGATTTCATTGAAACATATAGGATTCTTAAGGGTTTGACAGGCTAAATACTGATGAGATGTTTCTTCTCATGGGAAAGTCTACGACAAGAAGGTATAGTCTCAGAATAAAGGGGTAAAAATTTAAGACTGAAATACGAAGAGTTTTTTTTTCTGTCAGAGGGTTGTGAGTCTTTGGAACTCTTTGCCACAGTGAACTGTGGGAGCAGAGTCCTTGTGTATATATAAGGCTTAGATATATAGATTCTTGATCAGTAGGGGAAACAAGGGTTATGGGGAAAAGCCAGGAAAGTGGACATGAGGAATATTGGATCAGCCATTATCCTACTGAATAGAGGAGCAGACTCAAGGGGCAAAAAGTCTACTCCTATTCTTGTTTTATGGTCTAATATGACTTGAGTTGAAGAGGAATTTCTTCACTCAGGGTGGTGAATTTTCCATTCCAGAGGACTGTCATTGAGTATTTTAAAGACTGAATGGAAAGATTGCAAAAGATATCAAGGATTATGGGGATAGTACAGAAAATGCATTGAGGTTGAAGATCAGCCCTGATCTGGTTGAACAGAGGATCAGGCTGAAGGATTGTAATGGCCTATTCGTTATCCTACATTTCTATTTTCCTATCAACTCTTAAATTCTACTTGATTAGAAGGACATGTCCACTGTTAAAAATACTGACTCTCTCAATCCACCTCTTATCAAGTAAACATTCAAGCACTTTATACTTGTAATGAGTAGGAGAGACTTTGAGAGCAGAAAATATTGTAATTTTCAGATTGCAATGAAAGGAGAAATGGTAATAACTAGAGAGGTTGTAATGGAGAGAATGTACTGGAGGGAGAGGTTGTAATGATGAATTGTAATACAAAGTGTTGTTTCAAGAAGGTTGTGTTGCAAGCCTGATGTAATTTATGATGGTTATGATACTGATTTAGTAATCGAGATCGAGTCGTGACTTGAGGTTTCAAGTACATTTCATCAGGACAATTGGAAAGGTTAGTTAAATAAATAGCAAATATAAAGCTGTTATCGGCTTGATGATCATCAAGCTACCTTGTTTAAAAATGCTATCCAAAAAGCCACTCAGTTTATTTCTTTCTTGGGGTGTCCATGAATGCCAGCATTATCAGCAATTCCCAAATCCTTTTGATTTGATTCATTTATTAACACGTGTACCTAAGTACAGTGAAATGCATTTTTATGAGCTGTACAGGCAGATCATAGTAAACAAGGATGTATAGATCATTGGGTGAAAAAAAAAACTTAAGAGGCATACAGGTTACAATGCACAGGCCACTAGGCAGGATCAACATTAGTAAGATCAGCATTATTTGAAGTTAGAGAGTCCATTCATTAGTCTAATAACAGTCAGGAAGAAACTTCCTGAAACTGCTGGTGTGTGTGTCCAAGCTTCTGTATCTTTTGCCTCACAGAAGAAGTCGGACAGCATTATCAGGGTGCAATGGGTCTTTGATGATGTTAGCAGTTTTCCTGCAGCAACAAGCCATGTAAATGGAGCTCATAGATGGAAAGGTGACTTCTGTGATGGTCTGGGCTGTGCACACAACGTTCTGTAGTTTCTTATGGTCCTGGGTAGAGCAGTTGCCATTCCAGGCTGTTATGCACCTGGACAGTATGCTTTCATCTGTAAAAGTTTGTGAGGGTCCTTATAGACATGCCAAATTTCCTAAGCCATCTGAGGAAGGAGGCGTTGATTTGCCTTCTTCACTGTTGCATCTACGTGGGAAGTCCAGGACAGATTGTCAGTTATCGTCCTGGGAACTTGATGCTCTCTACCCTCTCAACCTCAGCTCCGTTGAGGTAGATGGAGGTGTGCTCTCCTCCTTTCTTTCTGAAGTCAATGATCAGTTCCTTAGTTTTGCCGAAGTTGAGAGAAAGGTTGTTCTCATTGCACTACATCACCAAGCCCAAGTGAACATCAAGAAGGAAAGAATTGGCATCAATTGCCTGCCTTGTGAAATCAGTGGTTGGGAAATGGCACACTTTCCCGTAACTGCAATAATTTTTGCTTTGTGTACACTGGGTAAATCAGGACAAAACAGTGATCCATACACTCGAGGACATTTACCTCATGAATCAATGAATGTCAAACAGTGAACGTTCACTAACACTGATGATTTAATGGGAAATCGGCAGGGTGGATATTGTGGCGGAAGATAAAGAATGGACTTCAGCTCAGAAACATATCCTCAAAAAATAAGGGCATGGCATCTCCAACTTTGTTTCAATTCCTTGTTTACACTGCAGTTAATGAACAGCCTAGAACTTGAATTAGCTGGTCACTGGCACCTACTCTTGGAAATGGGATTCAGTGTCAGGTGGACCCACAGAAGCTAGAGAGCATTTTCATCTTCGTCAGGATTCAAGAATGAAACTGTACGGGTTCCTCATCTTCTGCCTTGCTTTTCTGGCAGGTGCTCAAGGTAAGTGAGGGGCTACCATAGAGCCTGGCTGCAGTTAGCAACTCGAGGGTTCCACCTTTCCTGTTTCACAGTGCATTGATATTGTAGGGAGGTGACATTTATGTTTGGAATCGACCTGCCGGGTCTATTTCAATTCTAAGCTATCACTGCTTCATCAAAAAGAGAGGCTTGGATTTATCCAGCTCCTTCTGTGACCTCAGGAGACCTTCACAGTTACTTCAGATGTCAGGTCGTCAATATGTGCACAGCAAGCACCCATAAACAGAAATGAGGTGAATGACCACATCACCTGTCTTAATGATTAAAGAGAATAAATAAAACAAAAGTGTTGGAGAAAGTCAACAGGTCTGGCCATATCTGTGGAGATAGAGAGACAGAGTTAACTCTATGCGTCTAATATGGCAGAAAAAGTCATACTGGACTCCAAATATTAACTCTTTTTATCTCAGCGCAGATGCTGCTAGACCTGCTGAATTTCTCCAGCACTTTCCAATTTTATTTCAGACTTCCAGTATCCACAGTATTTTGCAGTTATTTGGTTAAGCGAAGTGTTAGAAGATTGGGGGAGACCACTACTGGTTTTCTTCAGAATAGATCCATGGGACCTTTCAGGTCCATCTGAGGGGGTACCTGGTGCCTTGGATTAACATGTAATAGCTCCTGACAGTGTAGCACTCTTAGCACTGCATTGGAGTGTCAGCCTTGATTATGCATTCATGTTTCTGAAGGGGGACTAGCAATTCCAACCTTTTGATCTCTACAAGGTCATGATGTAGGAGTAGGGGGTGGCCATTCAGCTTATCAAGCCTGTTTCACTGTTCAATAAGATCATAGCTGATCTGATAATCCTCAACTCTACTTTCTTACCTTTTCCTCATAACTCTTGATTCCCTCACTGATTAAAAATGTCTATTTCAGCCTTGAATGTATTTAACAAGCCAATCTCTACAGTCCTCTGAGGTAAATAATTCCACAGATTCATTATCCTCAGAGAAGAAATTTTTCAAGTGAGAGTGCTACCCAACGAATTACACTGGATCCTCTAAGGAGCAAGCTGAGTAAAGTCTGTTTAGCAAGACATTCCTTTAGCCAGAGCCTGAGCCTTTTAAAAGAATGTATTTCAGACCTACATTGAATTCACAGAATTAGAGAGAGGGATGTCTTCTCTTCCACTTTTCTTTAACCCTGCCCCCCACCTTGCCCTTTCTATTCTACTCTCTTTCCTTCATCCACTGTCTTCCCTTCTCTCTTCTCCCTTGCTCGCTTCTCCTTGTCTCTCCCTTGTGCTTTCACCCTCCCTCTCACTCCATCCCACATCTTCTATCTCCACTCCCTTTTCCCTCCTTCTCTCCCTCTCTCCTCCTTCCCCACTTTTATTTTTCCCTGTTCCTCACCTGCCCCTTTAGCTCTTCTTCCCTTTCACGCTCTGCCCTTCATTTCTCTCTCTCCCACTCTCCTCAGTCTCCCCTCCCTCCATCCTCATACTGTTACACTTGGGCTATGTAATATGTTGTGTTAATAAGGGAAAGAATGCAGTGGAAACTTCATTCCATTGTCTTTTGCCAGGAGATCATGAGGACTAAATGTTGTCACTAAAAAGCCAGTTGCTGTTGATGACTTTCTTGAAGAAAGTCAGAACTCATCACACCAGTGAGCAAGGCCTTCCGGAGGCTAATAAGAAGAACATAAGAAGTAGGAGGAGTGGCCATTCTGTCCCTTGAACCTTTCCCACCATTTAATGGGATCCTAGTTGATCTGAGTGATGTCTTAACTCCACTTTCCTGCCTTTCCCTGATAAGGCATAAAGCCTCACTCATCGAAAATCCTGTCCAACTCAGCGCAGAATTCAATGATCCAGCCTCCATTGCTCATTGCAGGAAAAGAATTCCAACTCTGACAACGCTTTGAGAGAATCTCTTCACCCCCTTATCTCTGTCTTATTTTGAAACTGTGCCTCCTTCATTCTAGATTTCCTCGAGAGAAAACTCCCCCTCAAAATCCACTCTGTCAAGTCTTCTCAGAATCTTATATGTTTCAGTAAGATTGCTTCTCATTCTGCCAAACTGCAATGGTTATAGGCCCAACCTGTTCAGCCTTTCTTCATCAAACAGTCCCTTCATTCCAGGAACCTGTTGAGTGACCCTTCTCTGAACTGTTTCCAATACCAGTAATGTCTCTCTTTCGTGTAAGGAGACCAAAAGTACACAGTATTTTAGGTGTTGTTTCATCATTTCTTTATATAGTGGTTGTAAGACTTTTTATTTGCCTATAAAAGCTAATATTCCAACATAATACACTTTCCCAATTAGTTGCTCACCACTGTCTAAGGTAAGGAAGAGTCATTCAACATCTAGTGTATTGCTTCTCCTGTGTAGCTTAAACCCCCATTAAATCTTCCTAATTTGTATGGCAGGAATAACAACTGAAATACAATTCTGGTGAGTATTTTAGCAATGGACTTAAAGGGTGTTTTTTGTTTCCTAATGAACTTGTTCAGAGATGTTATTATACACTGTTGTGTAGGTAGGGTTTGAACCCAGCACCTTCTAGTTCAGAGGCAGTGACACTACCACAGAAGCTCTGGGCTAATGAGCGATGTTATCAGTAAGTCAAAACAACTGGGTACACGCACCTAATTTAACCCTAAATCGAGGCACCATATGTCCTCTTAGAAATGTGATGATTCTATTTGAAGAAAACCGGGGTATGGTGGCATAGGTGTCATACAACTTGTTGAGTTTTTTTTTTGTTTCTTTGTTTTTATCTTGTTCCTTTACATGGGATTAGAGAATTGCTTAAAAGGCCCCCTTTGTGGCCAATCTGCAATGCCATTGAACTAAGTAGCATTGCCAGACCATTTCAGAGGCACTGAAGAGTTAACCACATTAGTGTGGATCTGAAGTCAATGTCAGCCAGATCAGGTAAAGATGGGAGATTTCTCTCCCTAAAGGATGTTAGAAAATATGGGCTTTTACAATGTTTGATAATTTTTTTTGTTCTTTATGTCTGTACAAATTTGAGGGGCTGAAACACCACTTCTATACTGTATGACTCTCAAATTCGAAAGACACTATTACTACTGTCTGAGTAGCTGCAATTTTCTTCCCATTGAATTGTCTTGTTGAAAAAGAGACAGTTACAACACACCAGTTTGCAAAAACAATTCATAATTTGGCAATGGAAAAGCAGAGTTCTACTTCAAAGCAGCTCTCATTATAGTCATAAGCACTGACACTGACACTGTACATGCAGGAATGGGGTCATTGAGCGCAGGCACTCTATGGCCATTAAAAACAGAAAGTACTGGAGAAACGCAGCAGAACTCACCTTCTGGCTCCCAAAGAGGTACCCAGCTAGTCTCATTCTCCATCCCTATCTCCATAACTCTCTAAATTCATACTTCCAAATACCTATTTATTTTTTCTTTATTGAAATCTCCTGTGGAATCCACCTCCACCACTCTCAAATGCAGCACATTCCAAATCCCAACAACTCTCTGAGTAAAGAAGTTGTTCCTCATCTCATTCTGAGCTCTCTTGCTGACAATCTTGAAATTGTGACCCCCTAGTTATAAACCCAAGGATCCTCATGCCTTCTTAACTGTTTCAACTTGCCTGGCCACCTTCAGAGATTCATGCACATGAACTCTTGAGGTCCCACCACTCCTGTACTACCCTCAAAGTTGTACCATCAAGCCTGCATTGTCTCTTCATGTTGTTTCTACCAAAATGCATTACTTCACATTTCTCTGCATTGAAATTCAACTGACAGATGTCTGCCCATTTGGCCAACTTGACAATTTCCCTCAAAGTCACTCAGCATCATGCTTACAATTCACTATTCTCCCTAGCTTAGCATCATCTGCAAACTTTAGAATTTTGTCTCAACACCCATCTCTTAAATCATTTATATAAATCCGAAAGGGTCAAGGGTCACAACAACAAACCCTGGGGAACATCATTTTCAATTCAATTCCAATCTGAGGAATACCTATCCTACTACCAATCTTTTAACCAACTTCTAACCCACCAGTCCCAAACATTTCTAATTTGCTAAACAACCTGCCAAGTGACACCATATCAAATACTTTCTGAAATTCCAAATATATACAACATCCAAAGTACTCCCCTCATCCACTGTCTGTGTCAACTCATCAGGGAACTCAATTAAATTTGTCAGAACTGATCTGCCCTTGAAGAGACATGTTGACTGTTAAGTATTAACTTGTTTCTCTCTAAGTGTATATTTACCTTGTCCCATATTAAGCAGTCCATGATCTTTCCCATTACTGATGTCAAACTGACAAGTCTGTAGTTTCCTGGATTATATTTTTCCTCTTTCTTAAACAGCAGTGTCATATTGGCAATCCTCCAGCCACCTGGGACCAATCCTGTGCTCAGAGAGGCCTGAAAATTTCCTGCCAATGGCTTCACGACTTGCTGTCTTACCGTTTGCTGCTTGTTAGCCCAAACATGGATACTGTCCAGGTCTTGTTGCATTTGGACACGGATAGGTTCAGTGTCTTGGGAATCACGAAAGATGCTAAACTTTGTGTAATCATCACATTTGGAGAGAGAAGTAGTACAGAAAAGATACACTAATATCGTTCTAGAGATGAGAAACTTAATTTACCCAGAGAAATTACAGGATTTAGACTTGATTTCCTTAGAGAATGTTGAGTGTACATCTGATCAAGGTTTTTCAAATCCTGAGGAGTCTGGACGGCATTAGTCATGAGAAGCCCTTCCCATTGGTGAAAGGATTGAATTGCATTCACAAATCTCATTGCAGGAGATGACGATCAGGAAGAGAATATAACCTGTGATCCCAACGTCCACATTATTGGGGGCACGCTGACGAAATCGAATGGTAATGCATTGGACAGTGTTCTGAAGTTCCAGTGTCCAGAATCAACCTACCCATTCCCAGTGTCACACACAAAGTGCATGAGGAGCGGGCATTGGTTCAGGTCCTATCATAGACGCCACAAACCCACATGCAAAGGTGAGACAGGTTCCTTTTTCCCTTCCTCTTCTCTCTCTCCTTCCTCTTTCTATTTTACTCTTTCACGGCCTGAGGGCATTAATTGATGCCCACCCCTTCTCTAATTGGCCTTGAGAAGGTCAAAGTCGAGTTCCATTTCTGAGACTAACTCTGCCATTCCAGATTTACCTGTCAACAGAATTGAAATTGTGGTGGATTCTGAAGTCATATGTCACTATCGCTTGTCCTGAGAGCAATGAAGGCAAAGATTGTACCTCCCTGGAAACCTCCCGAAGAGGAAGTGGGGCTGACTGAGTTGCTCTTGTGGATAACCAGGATAATCACGTCAGGCTGAATGGCCTCCTTCTGTTCTACGACTCCCTGATCTCCTTCGCTCACTTGCTGATCCTCAAGTCTACTAAAACCCCTTGGCATCGCTATTCTCCTCAACCCCTGAAGTCAACACCACACCATTCGGTCCTTATAATCTCTTTCTATCTCTCTAGAGTTTCGATGTCCAATGCCTGTACTGGAAGGTGGAATGTTCAGACCCCTGAGTGTTTCCTATGCTATCGGAGAAACTGTTACATTCGAGTGCTATGATGGGTATATGCTTCAAGGCTCGGTTAGCAGGACCTGCTTGAAGAATGGGCGATGGAATGGAACAATGACCAGCTGTAATTCCGGATGTGAGTCCCCACCTTAGACTATTGCTCGATGTGTTTGCTTTGCTGTTTTCAGAAGCGAGCGCCAAACACTTGGTCTACCCCTTTGTGTGAAATATTTCTTACTTTCACCGCCGGAAGGTCAAATTCTCGTTTTTAGTTTCTATTCTGCCAAACTGGATACCTCAACAAACAGAAATAGTTTATTCCACTCCCAGGCTTTCCATCCCCCATCCTGCTCCTCCTCCATCTCCATGTCCCCCACCCTATCCACTTCACACTCGACCCCTCCCACACTCACCCTGTTCCGCCCCGCTCCTGTACCCAGATTTCACTCTGTCTTCTCATTTCTCCTGCCAGCAGTCTTTCCATGCCTATTCATCCTAATCTCACTGTCCCCAACTCTCCCAACTCACTCTCCCTGCCGTCAGTCCTCAAATCTTCCTTCTCCCCAGCCCTCAATCCCCCCAACCCCACTCTCCCCAGCCCTCAATCCCCCCAATTTAGCTTTCCCCAATCCTCCCAACGTCATTCCCTCTGCCCTCAATCATCGTCCCAGCCTCACTCTCCTCACCCTCAATAGTCCCAACGTCTCCCCCTCCTTCTCTCGCCCGCCCTCACTTTTCTCCATACTCACTCTCTCTCACACCCCTTCCTCCCCCTCTCGCATCTCTTCCACCATTCCATCTCCCTGAATTCCCTGTTGTATTTCCGTCATTGCATCTCCCTTAACATCTGGAAATCTTTGACCTAATCGCCCCTTAACATTGTAAATTCCAGGAAATACAACATTGGTTTGCATTATGTCTCCTCATAACATAACTCCAGGTATAATCATAGTGAGATCTGATCCATTAACTCCAAGGCCAGTATATCCTGCCTAAGATGTAGTGCCCAGAACTGATCACAGTGTTCTAGGAACAAAGGCAAGGGGCTGAATGGCCTCTTGGTACTTCTCAATGAATGTTGCTTTTAACATTATCCTCCGATCCTTCAAACAATTGTGGACTTAGATTGAACGAGCCTTCGCAGAAGCACTTGAGTAAACCAGGAATTCCAGTGCCGTTTTCTTTTGCAGAGTGAGTTAGGAGTTAACATATGTGAATTCTGCTGTTTTAGAAATTGGCGAATGGGAAGTGTGCAAGCGGTGAGGGTGACTGGGCGGGAGGGTGAAGCTTTTTCCCTTTGCATATTTGCTGCCGCGGGTTTGAAATAGCTGATAGCTCGCTGCTGCCGCTGCGTTGCATCTCGCCTTTAATGATGTCTCCAAACTCTCAAAGCACAACACTGCCCTCATCCCGGGATCCCGGCTGGAGGCAGGAAATCCGGATCGACTTACGTGATCGGCAGCAAGGTGGAGTACGCTTGCAATGACGGCCTGGTGTTGGTAGGATCGAACATAAGGCAATGCCTAGAGTCGAGAGAGTGGAGCGGCAGGGAACCCAGCTGCCAGCGTAAGTCTTCCTTTTCATCTGTTCTTTAGGTTCATTCAATGGGATTGTTAACATCGACGTCAATCATTACAGCAGGCAGGCAGGAGCGTCAGCTCACTGCCTCTTTCTACTACTTGTCGGTGCAAATGGAATGACACTTTGCATGGGGTCCCAAAGCATTTACATGCACAGGAATTGGCCATTTGACCCATCTGCTCTGTGCCAGGTTTTGTGAAGAATGAGGTGGCGATTTGATTTGATTTGATTTATTGTTGTCACGTGTACTTCAGAACAGTGAAAAGTTTTGTTTTGCGCGCAGTGCAGGCAGATCAGAACATACAGGATACACAGATCATAGGATGTTCAGACACAGCCAGGCCTATAAGCTTACGACTGCACAGGAGGTGCACAAAAGCAAGGTGAACATTAGATTTGAAATTAGAGAGGCCCACTCACTGGTCTAATAACAACAGGGAAGAAGCTGTACTTGAACCTGTTTGTATGTGTGTTTAAGTTTCTGTATCTTCTGCCTGATAGCAGAGGTTGGAGGAGTGTATTACCAGGGTGGGAAGGGCCTTTCATTATGTTGGCAGCCTTTCCAGGGCAACAAGAAGTGTAGATGGAGCCCATGGATGGGAGGATGGCTTTCGTGATGGTCTGAGCTGTGTACACAACTTTCTGTTATTTCATATGGATTGGGCAGAGCAGTTGCCATACCAAGCCGTTATGCACCCAGATAGACTGCTTTCTATAGTGCACCTGTAAAAGTTGAAGAGGGTCCTGATGGACATGTTGAATTTCCTAAGCCGCCTGAGGAAGCAGAGTCGTTGTTGTGCCTTCTTGATCGTCGCATCTATGTGGGAGGTCCAGGCAAGATTGCTGAGTATTGTCACTCCTAGAAACCTTTGACCCTGTCCACCTCAGCTCCATTGATGTAGATTTTACAGAAACCTATATAATTCTAACAGGACTAGACGGGGTAAATGTAGGGAAGATGTTCCTGATGGCTGGGGAGTCCAGAACCAAGCATCCTAGTCTAGGAGCAAATTACTCCAGCTGCTGGAATCTGTACCGGAAACAACAAATGCTGGAGATTACAGCACATCAGGCAGCATCCATGGAGACAAAGCAAGCTAACATTCTGAGATAGATGCCTGACCTGCTGTGATCTCCAGCATTTGTTGTTTTCAGTATAATCTCAGTGTAAGGATTCGGGGTAGGCCATTTAGGACTGAGATGAGGAAGAATGTCTTCACCCAGATAGTGGTGAGCCTGTGGAATTCTCTGCCACAGTAATGCTGTAAGATGGAGTTAAATATAGTTCTTAGGACTAAAGGGATCAAAGGATACAGGGAGAAAGTGGGAACAGGGTATTTTGTTTTTAAAAGTTATGAATGAACTGAAAGAGATCTTATGGAGGAAACAGATGAAGTCATTGCTTTTAAGCCGGAAACTGCTACTCAGTTTGAATGCCACCCGAGGTCTCAATGGCCAAGGAAGATGCATTCATGGTATTGTGAAACATGCTGAGTCCCAGTCCTGTGGGTACATCCAAACACCCTTAGGGAGGGAGTTCCAGGATTTTCACCCAGTGACAGTGAAGTGACAGGCGATATCTTTTCAAGTCAGGATGGTTAGTGGCTTTTAGGAGAGCATACAGGTCATGGTGTTCTCATGTATTCTGCTGCCTTTGTCCTTCCAGAAGGTTGTGGTCATGGGTCTGGAAGGTGCTGACTAAGGAGCCTCAGTGACTTTCTGCTGTGCAAAGTGTAGATGGTACACACTGCTGCTACTGAGCAACAGTGTTAGAGAGAGTGGATGCTTGTAGATGTGGTGCCAATCAAGTGGGCTGCTTTGTCTTGGATGGTGTCAAGCTTCTTGAGTGTTGTTGGAGCTGCACCCATCCAGGCAAATGGAGAGTATTCGAGACAACAAGGTGCAGAACTGGATGAACACAGCAGGCTAAGCAGCATCATAGGAGCGGAAAGGCTGACGTTTCGGGCCTAGACCCTTCATCAGAAAAATGGAGAGTATTTCCATCATACTCCTGACTTGTGGATGGTGGCATCCTTATCCAGTCTGGCTTTCATGTGACTCTGGAATCTCAGCTTGACACTTGATTGTCCATTGGAATGACCTAACAAGCATTCCATTATATTGGAGAAGGCATCTCAGTACCGCGTTTTCATGGGCAACAATAGGTGGGCAGTAAATGCAGGTGTTGCCAGGATCCCCACATCCTGTTAATGAAAAATAAAGAATCATCAATCTGTTTTAAGGGATTAAAATCAACCCAGGACTGAGAGGAGAACTCTCTTCCTTGTCTTCAAAATGGAGTAATGGTAATAGCACTTTATTGAGGTTAAACATTACTTGGGGTCTCAATGAGATTACGTGATGAGGAAAACACAATGTAGGCAGTGGATTAAGGACATTGCCCTTGCTCCCACAACTACCCAATTTCCCTACATCTGTCATTGATACCTGAATTGAAAGAATCCATTCAGGTTCAAACATTATTCAGGAAGTTGAGGGATGGGTTTAGTTAGTGGTGAAGTTGTTGGGGGTATGTGGAAGAACAAAGTTCCATTTAGAAAGGTTGACAGCCAAAAATGGTACAGTCTCAATTTGGACACATGTGAAGCAAATTGAGAAAGTGGATCTCGTTAAATCCGTATTTTTATTTCCACTGCAGACAAAAGCTCCTTTGACACTCCAGAAGATGTAGCATCAGCTTTCACAGCCTCTTTTACCAGCATGCTGGGTCTAACTCAAACTGGAGAAGGAAAGCAGCCAGGTACGTCATCTGTTGCCCTTCTACATTACTAGTCCCCCCTGTCTAACTCTTCCCTATGTCCCAGCTAGAATTTTAGCTTTAAAGGAATAGGATAAGTCCTTAACCAAAAGTTGCAGTTTCACTTTCTTGTTTGTGGGAGATATATAAGAAACCGGAATAGGCCATTCTACTCCTAGCAACCTGCTGCACATGGAACAAAATCACGACTGATATGATTGTGGTCTTTACTCTACTTTTCTGTCTGCATGCACCCCCCCCTGCCATATTGCTGTAAATCTGCTGTTCTAACATCAAAGGGAGGAGTGCTGTGGTAATCAATCTCCCTAAGTGTAAATGTTTCATTTAATCCCAAGATAGCCAATTTGACTCTGTTATCATCTAGATCAAGAGATACTTTAACCAGGTTTCTTCATTAGACTCAAAACAACTCGCTTAACACAAATGAATATTCTTTAGATGAAGGCGAACTGGTTAGCAACTAAGCAACTATATAGAATTAATCCTTAATCCCAAATACACACATTCATAAAAAACGAAAGAACTGCGGATGCTATAAATCAGGAACAAAAACCAAGTTGCTGGAAAAGCTCAGCAGGTCTGGCAGCATCTGTGAAGCAAAACCAGAGTTAATGTTTCGGGTCCGGTGACCCTTCCTCAGAACTGATGGTGGCTGGGAAAACGTTGGTTTATATGCGGAAAATAGGGATGGGAATGGGGTAGGGAGTAAACAATAGGATAGAGCCCAAAGAGCCCAAAGACAGTTGGACAGATGAAGGAGTTGAAAACAATCAGGTTGGGAGGGTGAATAGTTGTAAATGGGGATTATTAGTGACTAACAACAGGGGGTGTGTAATGGCAGGCTATGTGTTAACAAGGCCTGGTGTGTGGGGTAGGGGGCTGGGACATGGGAGAGTTTAGGCCCTAAAATTATTGAACTCAACATTGAGTCTGGAGGGCTGTAGGGTCCCCAAGCGGAAAATGAGGTGTTGTTCCTCCAGCTTGCATTGGGCTTTGCTGGAACATTGCAGCAAGCCAGAGACAGAGATGTTGGCCAGGGAACAGGGTGGTACGTTAAAGCCACCATCAGTTCTGAGGAAGGGTCGCCGGACCCGAAACATTATCTCTGTTTTTTCCTTCACAGATGCTGCCAGACCTGCTGGGCTTTTCCAGCAACTTTGTTTTTGTACACACATTCATGCACAGGTAAGATAAAACAACACAGCACTACGGATACATGTTTGGGGTAAATAAATTTGAAGAACAGCATCCCTGTAAGTCAAGGGTATGAATGTGTTGACTTTTCACAGTTCTTTTGATTTCCTGTTGACGAGATCTAATTACTGAAAGTTGCAGAATGATTGAAGATCTTCAGACCCAATTTCAGATTCTGATGGGAAACAGTTAAAAGCCCTGATATTTAAAAATTCATGAGATTTTCAAACTACTTCATTGACAGAGAGTGAATGTTTTTTGCTTTAAGGTTTGTCTCTTACTGACTAAGGCAGAGAAAGCTGCTATCTCCTGCAAGTTCCGTCAACTACTCACATCTCAGGTCTGTGAAAACACATAGCACATGACACTAGAGGCTGTTTCTAGGCAACAAACAGCATGGATCCTAGACTTTTTTTTTAAGTCTGCCTGACCAACAGCTCTGGACCATAAACTTTATGTTTTATATCTCTCTTAAATCTTTATTAGACTTGTTCTCCCAAATTGACCTGCTTTTCCAGTAAACAGAAGATGATCCACAGTTCACTTTGACCTTTTCCAAGAATCATGATAAAGCCTCTTCAACCAAGAAATGTCCAAACAGTTCCTTATTCCACTTTCTCGTAGTCCATTAATATATATGTGTATTCTAATGTGTGTAATCTATGTACTCACAATCTGTCTAAACACAACCTTGAATGGATTCAATGGCCCAGACTGTTCACTCTGAGGAAGAAAATTTCAAAGACTGATGATCCCCAGATGATTCTCCTCATGTCCATATTAAACAAGAGACCCATGAGCAAACAACTAAAATAAAACTGTTTAAGGAGCTAAAACAGAACAAATGTTTAAATATTTTCTGTAATGTAATATTCAGATTTTTAGAAGTGAAATATGTCAATGAGATTGGGGAGAGCATGGCAGCCTGGTATTGAGATATTGGATCAGCCATGATCATATTGAATGGTGGAACGAACTCAGTGGGCTAAATGGTCTACTCCTGCTCCAAGTTTTTTATGTTTTCTATAAGTTTTCACCTGGATTGTTCAATCCCTTTCTGTCTGCTCCAATGATCAAAATGCTCCTCCTTTCAAATATTTCATTTGTTCCCATTTGAACCACAATCTCTCACAGGAACAGTACACATTGAGCTCACTGGGAGCTGAGGAGCAGGAACAGGCTGGACTACCAATCAGTTGGATCATGGCTGCAGTGTAACTAAACTCCATCCAATCACCAAGGCCCCTTAAACCCATATATCCTTACCCAATAAAACATCTATCCCTATCAGAAAACAAAGAACTGTGGATACTGAAGATCTGAAACAAATTTCTGAAGAAGGCTCATTGGACTCGAAACAGTAACTCTGCTTTGTCCACCGATGCTGCCAGACCTGCTGAGTTTCTCCAGCAATTACCACTTTTGTTGGACACAACTATCCCACTCGGTTTTGAGAATTTCCTGCTACCCCTCAGCCTACATGAACAGCTTTTTCACGGAGAGAATTCCAGGTTTCCTCTTGTTTTTATGTGGCCTTTCACCACATCAGTGGGCATCAAAGTCAATATTCCGTTAAGTTCAAGGGGTTCTTGCTGTTGACTTGAATTGGAATGGGTTTGGTCAACTTAACCCTGACTTGTATGTGGACCTAGGGCTAGGAGTAGCAAATTCTGATTGGACTTCTCCCTGGTGATTGCATCACATGACCTTCGATGTCCAACCACCTCACCCAGTCCAATGTGACTCCAGACTCATGAAATGTGGCTGACTCTTAACTGCCCTCCAAGATAGCCAATTAAACCTCTCAATTCAAGGGCAAATAGGAACGGCCAGCAAAGGCTGGTCTTTTCAGCAACGCCCACATCCCATGAAGGAATAAAGAAAGCAAATATAACTAACCAACAAAACTATTTAAAGAAAATGGATTGAAAGTAAAACATCAAGCTTGTTTTAGGGCCTCAGCCATTGTTCTCCTGAGCTTTGCTCACAGTCGTGGCCAGCGAGATTTTCTTTTCAATGGTCAAAGACTCGACAGCAACAGAGGGTTGAGAACCCCACTGGAGTCCTATCGCTTGCCTTCATCCAAAGGCAGATGGACACTGGTAGGGGACGGGTATGATCTTTGACCTTTGCCACTGGGTAGCAGAGGTATACTGACAGATTTGCCTTGATAATGTGAACGGTGTGGTGGGAGATGCAGGCGGCACCAGAGGGGCACAGGCCTTGGAGAACTCAATCTCCCTTGGATTTGGGTGGGTATTTTCTAATCTATGGAACTCCCACTTCCAGTGAGTGCCAATGTAACCCCTATCGTTCCAACTTTAACTGTCTCTTCCTCCACAGCATCCACTGCCCGCAAAATTATCCTTGCAAAGGATACACCGCTTCATATATACATCCTTCTAGATGCTTCCGAAAGTGTTGGTGAGGCCAACTTCGAGAAAGCCAAAAATGTCATAAAGAACCTCATTGACAAGGTAATGGAACAAATCACTGCCATGAAGTTTCAAAGTGGCCTATAGTGTAGTTTTAAACAGAAAAGCAAGGGTTTCATGGTTTTATTTCCTGTTCTGCAATACTTTGGACATCATTACCTCAGGATTAAGCAGCTTCACTTGAACCCTACCTACCACTTTAAACCTTTCCAACTGCCTTCACCACGAACACTCAATAGCAGCACTGTGCACCATCTACAAGATGCTCTGCAGAAATTCACCAAGGCTCCTTAGACACCACCTTCCAAATCTGGACCTCTGCAATCCAGAGAGACAAGGTCAGCAGATGCATGGGGCCATCATCACCTGCAAATTCCCCTCCAGGCCACTCTCAAACCTGATTTGGAACTATATTGCTGTTCCTTCACTGCCACTGGGACAAAATCCTGGAACTCCCTTCCAGATTGCACTGTGGGTGTACATGCACCATGTGATTCAAGAAGGCAGCTCACCACCACCTTCTCAGCGGCAGTTAAGGTTGGTTGACAAACTTTCTCAGCAAGGCTCACATGAAAAAAGGAGTGATTTTTATTATTCTTTGTTATACCCTTGCATTGTGATTTATTTTTATTTTACCTCAGATTGCAAGTTTTGACGTTCGACCCAAGTTTGGAGTTGTATCGTATGCATCGGAACCAATAACAATCTCTAACATCAATATCCAAGAGACAGCCAACGCTGATGATGTCATTTATCAGTTAGAAAACGCAGAAGAGGCAAAGTATGGAGGTGAGATAAGGGTTGGAATGCGATTGCTCATCCATTAATGGCCTAATAACGTAAGAAATAGGAGCAGAAATAGGGCATTCAGCCCCTTGAGCCTGCTCTGCTGTTCTAAATCAGCTTCACTTCCTGCATGATGCTCATGACTTTCAGTTCTCTTGGTGTCCAAAAAGATGTTCTGTATATCATTCGCCACTGCGAGTCTGCACTTGACGGAAACAAGCAAGATCAGAGGTCTCCTCACAGAAAAATCGGAGGGCCAACTCCCATTCCACCGCAAACTCAGGGGGTCCCATTCTAATTTTGCTCATCCAACATAAACTGGGATAAAACCAGTTCTCTGTCTCCCTGCCCCAACTCCCTGGCGATGCTTCTCAACATTGTCCTGAGGCCTGGGTCCCCCAGTTACTCTCCTCTCTGTCTCTTCCTCTCCTGACAGCTGTCTGTCACTAGCTACTCGCCCCCTCCCCATTTGTCAACCTGCAGAGATGCTACACATCACTACTGCTCTGCTCTAGCCAATATTGCCACCCCTCAACCCCGAGATGCAAGTTTTACTACAGACAAATGAAGACCTATTTCGGTCACATCTAGAGTAAGGTGTTCAGTTCTGCGCATCACACCTATATTGAAAGGATTTTCTGATTGTAGGTCATCCTGAGCTGAAACATGAATTGTTTCTCTCTCCACAGATGCTGAGCATTTCCTGCAGTTTTTCTTTCCTCTGTTTTTATTGAAGGATGCAAGGAGGCATAGCAGTAAAGTCACTGGACTAGTGATCCAGACCTCCAGGCTAACGTTCTGGGGACATGGGTTCAAAACACACCATGGCAGATGGTGAAACTTGAATTTAATACAAGTCTGGAATAAAAATTTTAGTCTAATACTGACAAAAATCTGTCGATTGTTGTTTAAAAAAAAGACCCATCTGGTTGATTAACGTTTTATAATGCAGGAAATCTGCCATCCTTACCCAGTCTAGACTACATGAGACTTCAGACCCGCTGCAATGCAATTGCCTCTTAACCACCCTCTGGGTAATAAATATTGGCCTGGCCAGTGACATTCACATCCTCTAAATAAAAAAAAAGTGGAAAGGAGTGGAGCTCAGATTCACTAGAACAATACCGGTCCTGTTGGGGATCTTGAGGAAAATGTTATTGTAACTGGCTGGTATTTGGTGAGAATATTGTTGTTAATGAGGTGATTCAATTGAAACCCAGGCTCTGGAACAAAAACTGATTGGGAATAAACCTTTTCCACTGATGGCCAAGGCCAGAACAATGGCAACTAACCTGGGAATCGGAGCCAACTTGTCGAGGCAAGGAGTTAGGAAATGCCGTATTCAGAATTGTGCAATTGGTACAGCATAGAAAAGGTCTGTTTGTCTCACTGTGTCCATGTCAGCTAACAGCAAAACTTTCAACTGCTTCTTTACTTTCTTCCCCCACCACCACGCACCACCTCCTCCCATCCCCCATCCCCCACCCTACCATTGCCTTGCAAAGTTTTCCTTTCCAGAAAATGATCCAATTCTCTTCTGAAAACTGCAATGGGATCTGCCTCCATGGCACTCTCGGGCAATGCATTAAAAGTCCTGACCAAATGAAAGCAGGAAACGCAGCAGGTCTGGCAGAATCTGTGCAGAGAGAAAAATCAAGTTAATACTTCAAGTGCAATCTGAAGAACAGTCAGACCGACACAAACATTAAATTTGTTTCTCTCTCCACAGATGGTGCCAGTCCTGCTGAGTTTCCATACCTCCTTCTGTTTTTTCATCCGATCTCCAGCAACTGCAGTATTTTGCTTTTATTAATTGTTCTAACCAGTCATTGGGCCATAAAGATATTCTCCCCCCACCCGCCTCCATTTCACGTATTGCCATACAGAACAGAAACAGACCCTTTGGTCTACCTTGTCCGCAGCAACCAGGCATCCCAATCTGACCTAGTCCCATTTGCCATCATTTGGCCCATATCCCTCTAAACCCTTCCCATTCATATACCCATCCAGATGCCTTTTAAATGTTGTAATTGCAGCTATCTCCACCACTTCTTTTTGCAGCTCGTTCCATACATGCACCACCCTCTGCGTGAAAAAGCCACCCCTCAGGTCTTTTAAATCTTTCTCCCCTCACCTTAAACTTATGATCTCTAGTTTTGGACTCCTCCACCCTAGGAAAAAGACCTTGGCTATTCATCCTATCCATGCCCCTCATGATTTTATAAATCTCTATGAGATTACCCATCACCCTGCGATGCCCTAGGGAAAAAGCCCTAGCCTATTCAAACTTGCCCTGTAGCTCAAACGCTCCAGTCCCAGGAACATCCTTGTAAATCTTTTCTGCACCCTCTCACGTTTAACAACATCCTTCCTATGGAAGGGTGACCAGAATTGTACACAGTATTCCAAAATTGGCCTCACCAATGCCCACACTTGCTTCTTTTGCCACTCACCTTAGACATGGAGCCTCTGGTTCACAATCCTTCCACCAATGGGAACAATTTCTACCTGTTCACACACATCGTGACTGTGATTACTGTTATCAATTCTCTTCTCGACCTTCCCTTCACTGAAAAGAACAGGGCCTGGATGCCCCAGTGTTTCCTTTATTAATGGTAGTCCCTGACTCCCAAATGAACAAGTTGGGTGGCATTGCAGGCTCGGGGGTCGGGGGTGGGGCGTGGGGGGGGAAGGTGTGGTGGTGGTGGTCTGGTGCGAATAGCCTACTCGTTACTTAAGTTAAGAGACAAGTGATCTTTAACCTGACCCACTCGGGGTGAAATGGCGAGATGCAGATGCACAACTTACCCTCCATTAGATTCTGTTGGCCACTGAAGAGCACCAGACCGGACCTCTTCAATATATCCTAAGAACACAGCCTAGAGATAAATGTGAAGTGCTGTGCTCCAGATGCAATATGAATGGTCAAACTACTCAATGTTAAGCAAAACACAATTTATTCAAACACTATAGTTAAAATCCAGGAGGAAAAAGCATCAAGAAAAGATTCAGAGAGGATAGCAGCTAGGATACACTCACTGAAGCTTCCAAGTCTTTTGAGAACCCAAAGGCTTCTGCTCAAAACTAACCCAAAAAACTAAAACAATTAGAAAGCCTGGTTTGTCAGAGCTGGCCCCACCCAGGCTGCTTCCATTGTTCCCACTTTAAAAAAATACTCCAAGGCCTACAAACTGTTTATTTTCTTAGAGACAGCTCAATACCTCTGCCTTACAACCTTGTCTCCAGAAAAAAAGGACAAAATAAACTCTTAAAATGACAGCATTGTCACAAGAATTGTCTCCCCTGAACAGCGACAGCACCAACTTGGCGTCACGGAGGGGTTTGGGGGGGCAACTGTTGGGCCTACATTGGGTTAGGGTTAGTGTATGAATTATGTCCTGTGAACCTATGGACCTCAAGGTCTTCTTTATCCCATTATAAAATGTAGAAGCAAAAGCAGAAGTTGCTGGAAAAGGTCAGCAGGTCTGGCAGCATCTGTGAAGAGAAATCAGAGTTAACGTTTCGGGTCTGGTGACCCTTCGTCTTGAAGGTCCTTCTGAAATTAACTCCGATTTCACTGCACAGATGCTGCCAGACGGGCTGAGCTTTTCCAGCAACATCTGTTTTCATTTCTGATTTACAGCATCCGCAATTCTTTTGGTCTTTATAAAATATAAAATATAAAACCCACACCTGTATTTCGCTATGGGTATCACACCACACAATAGATGCTATTCTCCCATCTGACTGGGGAACGTAGAACAGGGTGTCAGGATAACGGGCGATCACTTGCGATTGAAAAAGGAGAAGGTTCTTCACTCAAAGGGTTGTGAATCTTTGGAATCCTCCAATTCTGCACGTTGTGGATGCTCCACCATTTGAGAACATTTAAGTCTGTAATGTACAGGTTTTTGAATCTTTCAGGGAATCCAGGGATACAGGCAGTGGGCTGGCAAAAGGAGTTCTGATTTATGGTCAGCCGTGGTTATACTCAATAGTGGAACCAGTCTTCGCAGGATCTACTTCTGCTTCTACTTATATTTCCAGCAGAGAATAAATTGGCCTTAGAAGGCTGTAGCTCTTATTCATCAGAACAGGACTGGACAGGGTAACCATAGAAAGAATGTTCCTGATGACTGGGAAGTCCAGCACCAGGGATCACCATCTGAGGATATAAGGTATGTCATTTAGGACTGAGACGAGAAGTAATGTTTTCATACAAAGTGGTGAGCCTGTGGACTTCCTGGCTACAAAATGTTTTCAAGAAGGCATCACATGTGTTTCTTAGCACTAAATGGATCAGAGGTTATGAGGAGAAAGTAGGAACAAGATACTGAATTGGATGATCAGCCAGGATCACATTGAATGGCCAGTGATGTGAGATGTAAATTGTGTAAACTGAGATCAATAGAATTTTGTCGGGTAAGTGCTGTGGAAGCAAGTTAGTGGATGGAGTTAAGAACTGGATATCCCACTGTCTAATTGAAAGGTAGAACATGTTCAATGGCCTCCTGTTTTTCTCTCTCTCTCTTTCCTCACCACCTCTGAAACTTACTACACCACTTTTTTAAAAAAATCAATTCTCTTGATTTATTCTTATGTTTGTAGTTCATGCTGACAAGAGAGGCACCAACATTCATGCAGCATTCAAGAAGGTGATGGAAATGATGGTCCTCTCAAAGATCATTTATAAGAATTCCTGGGACGAGACAAGATTTGTCACCATATTATTTACAGATGGTGAGTACACTAGGATACTAGGGTGAAGTACCTAGGGAGTGGGTGGAAGGCAAGGGATGGGGCAGATTAATCTGACTGAAGCGTAATTGAAATACACCACACTGACCCTGAATGTCTGCAGTCATAATTGCCTATAGCCTCCTGGTTACAGCAGTCTGCTGGCTTGGATATGCCCATGTTACCAATATTAAACATCCTCCCCTCATCTGTTTTCTCTCTTCTATTCCCCCTCCCCCACCACCACCACCCTCAACTATCACTTACAGTGTGCACTATAGCTGTAATATCATGCAGACCATCTTAAATATTCCTTCCTGCCACCACCAATGCACACTGGCAGCAGTATGTGTGTGCACCATCTACAAGATGCATTGCAGCAAATCACCAAAGCCCCTGCCAGAACACCTTACAAACCTGCAGTCTCCACTATCTGGTAAGGCAAGGGCGACAGATGAATGAGAACACCATCACCTCCCTTCCAAACTGCACACCAATCAAACTTGGAAGTATTTTGGCTGTTCCTGAATTGTTGCTGCAGCACCCTTCCCAACCCCTCCATGAGTATAGCTGCAATGGACTAGATGGACTGCAATGGTTTAAAAACGTGCTCATCACCATCTGCTTCAGGGCAATGAGGGATGGGCAATAAATGCTGGCCTTGCTGGTGGCATTCATGAACGAATAAAAGAATTTGACTGAGGGAGCTGTGACATGTTTTGGGATACCCTCAATCAGGTGCTGCCCAATGGTGAATTGTACATTTCTGAGACCTTCTTTGGTGTTGCAGGGAAATCGAACATGGGAGGGGACCCCAGGACAGCGGTCAAAGAAATAAAGGACTTTGTTATTGCACAAAATAAATCACTGATTGATTATCTTGGTGAGTATTCCCTGTGCCAGTATTTTCATTTGATCCCAAGCCAAACTGAGGTCTGAATGTGTAGCATTTCATCTGTCTGCCTCCTACCTACAGCAGTCCCTACTTGTAAGTGCTTGAGGCACTTAATTAAGCAATGCCTTTACTGGTGTATCTTGGAAATATAATTAACATACCATTAATAAGCTGATTCAGAGGATCATTTCTAGGATAGATACTTCCATTTATTGCACTCAAAGCTTCCTCTTCTCTGCTGTCCATCTGTCAACAATCCACAATAGATAGGAGAGGAAGACGTCATTGCAATGAAGTTGCTTTTTATCTCTGGAAACAGGTAATTTTTCAGCCTTTTTAGATTCATGGGTGATTCCAGAGGACCAGCGAGTTGCACTTGTTCAGTTTTTTAAAGAAGTTGTAAAGCTAAACCCCGCAACTGTAGACCAGTCAATTTCACTATAGTGGGCATGAGACTTCTAGAAACTGTAATTCAGGGCAAAATTAATTGTCTCATGAACACGTGCAGGTTAATTAAAAGCCGGCATAGATTTATTTTGGGAAAATTATGTTTAACCAAATTGCTGGAGTTTTTTTGATGAAGTAACAGAGAGCGTCAATGAGGGTAAGGCTATTCACGTAGTATACATGGACTTTCGAAACGGGTTTGATACAATACCACTAGACCTGTGAGAAAAGTTTTGGCTCAAGAAATAAAAGGGCCAGCAGCAACATGAACACAAAATTGGCTGAGTGATAGGAAACTGAGGGCATGATGGATGGATGATTTTCCAGCTGAAGATTTTGCTTCTGAAGTTCTTCAAGAACCCTGATATACATTAATACCCTGAAGCTTGAGGTAGAGGCTATAGTTTCAACATTGTTGAATGCTACAAAACTTGAAAGCATTGGCAACTGAGAGGAGGAGAGTTGAACATCAAAAAGACAAATTGGTGAAGTAGGGACTGCCAAAGTGTTAAGGGCTTGGATGGAGAGGAATTTAAGCGTGTGCAAGAAAATTTTCTGATTCAGTGTGTGGAGTTACATACTAGAGAAGGTGCAAAACTTGACGTGCTCTGAGGAAATAAGGCAGGGTAGGTGACTGAGGTGTCAGTGGGGGGAGCACTTTGGGGCCAGCGACCATAATTCTATTAGTTTTAAAATAGTGATGGAAAGGATGGATCGGATCTAAACATTACAGTTCTAAATTGGAGGAAGGCCAATTTTGATAGGATTAGGCCAGAACTTTCAAAAGTTGATTGGGGTGGATATTTGCATGTAAAGGGACGACTGGAGAATGGGAAGACTTCAAAAATGGAGGTGGCAGGATATGTTGTTGAGGTTAACAAGGCATATGGTATCCTCGGCTTTATTTGCAGGATCTTGGAGTACAGTCAAGAGCAAGTGGTTATACTGAACTTGTATAAAACACTGCGTTGACCTCAGGTGGAGTATTGTATGCAGTCCTGAGCACTGCACTTTGAGAAAGATGTGACGACGTTAGAAAGGATGCAGAAAAGATTCATGACAATTACTCCAGGAATTAAGGATTTCCTTTGTGGAGAAGTTGGGAGTGGGATGGTTTACCTTGGAGCAAAAACTACTAATGGGCGAGACTTGACAGTGGTATTTGAAATCATGACAGTTCTAGACAGATAGACAGAGAGAAACTATTCTCACTCACGAAAGAATAGAGAATGAATGGACATAGATTTACAATGATTCACAAAAGAAGCAGGAACAAGACAAGAGCAAGCCTTTTCATTTGGCAAGTAGTTAAGAGCCTGGAATGCATTGCTTGAGAATGTGCTGGACGCAGACTCAGTCAATGCATTCTTAAGGAAGAAATTGCAGGAACGCAGGCAAATTGCCCATTCAGAGAGCTGGCGCAGACAGACATGATGGGCTGAATGGCCCCAATCTTCCCTTTTAATGGTTCTAGGGCATTAAGGCTACGTTTTGCTGACACAGACGTACACACGGCATTCACCACTTTGTATCGCGTGCGTGCAGATTTCAGGGAGTAGTGCCTGGAGTGGGGGAGGGGAGGAGAAATCATGAGGGGGATATTGGGATCTGGGAAGGAATGGGATCAGGATATTTGAGGGGCATTAAGGAAGGTCCATGAGCTGGGGTTAGTGTGGCAGGGAGACAGAGGAAGAAGGCCTTCCAGCTCCAGGGCTGTCCTGGTCTATTTCTTCTTATTCCCAGTGGGAGGGTTCTCCCTGTCACGAGTGCCATCTCGCTACCACTAAATCCCAAGTTCAAAACAAAATTGCGTGTGCCTCACTAAGCTTGCGCAGCAATGTGTGATGCCACGTGCAAAGTAACATGCTGGCGTTAGAACTGTGTGTTCACCCAATGGACGTGCGCGTGGGTTTGCTTGCAGTTGTGTGTATCCGCAAATATTGTCATTAAGACAACAAAACAGTAGACCAATGATCAGATACTTGCTGTTACATTGTCAGTGAAAAGTGTCTGTCAATGAGAAATGTTTTCACTTGTTTGTTCAAGCTGGTTTTACATCCAGGGATATTGAATTGCAGGAGCATGTAAACATATTGTTCATCCTCTGCTCCAGTGTCAGTATTTCATCATCTAATTCTTGTTTTGCAGACATGTACTCTTTTGGAGTGTCAGACGATGCCAAAAAGCCGGAACTGAATGCACTATCATCTCAAAAACATGACGAACAACATTGCTTTACTGTTAAAAACACGTTGGATCTGATAAAAGCTTTTGATAACATATTAGGTATGCATTTGACAGTGTTCCCTTAATTAAGGCTCATGAAACAGTTTAATTCTGACTGAACGTGCTCTTATCCTAGTTTGGAGTTAGCAATGTGCAATATCCAGGCTGCTACATTTGATAATCTTAATATCCCACAATTCAGCCAACAGTAGCTACACTACCAAAGAAGGAGTGGTGTTAGAAGGGTTGGCATGACTGAAAGAAGATAAGACCCCAGGACCAGATGGGATCTTGTCCAAAGATAATGAAATAAGAGTGGAATGAAATAAGTGGTACTGGCCAGAATTTTCCAATCCTCTTTAGAGAGAAATGAGAAAGGAATGATCACCTTATTGGGATTGTACAATAGACCCCCCCCTCCCGCAATAGGCAGTGGGATATTGAGAAACAAATTTGTAAGGAGATCTCTGTTATCTGTAAGAATAATAGGGTGGTTATGGTAAGGGATTTTAACTTCCCAAACATAGACTGGGACTGTGATAGTGTTAAGGGCTTGGAAGGAGAGGAATTTAAGTGTGTACAAGAACATTTTCTGATTCAGTATGTGGAAGTACACACTAGAGAAGGTGCAAAACTTTACCTACTCTTAGGAAATAAGGCAGGGCAGGTGACTGAGGTGTCAGTGGAGGAAGCACTTTGGGGCCAGTGTCCATAACTCTATTAGTTTTAAAATAGTAATGGAAAAGGATAGATTGGATCTAAAAGTTAAAGTTCTAAATTGGAGGAAGGCCAATTTCAATGGTATTAGGCAAGAACTTTCAAAAGTTGATTGGGGGTGGATGTTCGCAGGTAAAGGGACAGCTGGAAAATGGAAAGCCTTCAAAAATGAGATAACGAGAGTCCAGAGACAGTGTATTCCTGTTAAGGTGAAGGGCAAGGCTGGTAGGTGTAGGGAATGCTGGATGACTAGAGAAATTGAGATTTTGGTTAAGAATAAGAAGGAAGCATATGTCATGTATAGACAGCAGAGATCGAGTGATTCCCAAGAAGTGTACAAAGATAGTAGGAATATATGTAACAGGAAAATCAGGAGGGCAAAAACGGGACATAAGATAGCTTTGGTAAATAGGTTAAAGGAAAATCCAAAGGGAGTCTACAAATACATAAAGGACAAAAGGATAACTAGGGCGAGAATAGGGCTCCTTAAAGATCAGCAAGGCCACCTATGTGTGGAACTGCAGGAGGTGGGGGAGATACTAATTGAGTATCTTGCATCACTGTTTAAAACTGGAGCATTAGTGACTGAGGAGTGACATTATACAGGTTTATAAAATCATGAGGGGTGTGGATCAGGTGAATGGCCAAAACCTTTTCCCCAGGGTAGGGAAAACTAGAAAGCACAGGTTTAAAGTGAGAAGGGAAAGATATAAAAGGGACTTAAGACGCAACCTTTTCATGCAGAGGGTGGTGCGTGTATGGAATGAACTGCCAGAGGAAGTAGTGGAGATGAGTACGATTACAACATTTAGAAGGCATCTGGATAGGTACGTGAATAGGAAGGGTTTAGAGGGATATTGGCCAAATGCCGCCAAATGAGACTAGATTAATTTAGGATATCTGCTTGACATGGTAAGTAAATGTATGTAGGGAAAGTATCTAGTGTCATAGAGATGTACAGCATGGAAACAAACCCTTCGGTCCAACTCATCCATGCCAACTAGTCCCATTTGCCAGCATTTGGCCAATATCCCTCTAAACCCTTCCTATTCATGTAACCATCCAGATGCCTTCTAAATGTTGTAATTGTACCAGCTTCCAACACTTCCTCTAGCAACTCATTCCATACATGCACCGCCCTCTGCAGGAAAAGTTGCCCCTTGGGTCCCTTTTAAATCTTTCCCCTCTCACGTTAAACCTATGCCCTCTAGTTTTCGACTCCCCCATCCCAGGGAAAAGACCTTTGATATTTACCCTATCCATGTCCCTTGTGATTTTATAATTCTCTATGAGATCACCCCTCAGCCTCTGACGCTCCAGGGAAAATAACCCTGCCTATTCAGTCTCTCCCTATAGCTCAAACCGTCCAACCTTGGCAACATCCTTGTAAATCTTTTCTGAACTCTTTCAAGTTTCACAACATCCTTCCTATAGCAGGGAGACCAGAATTGCATGCAGCATTCCAGTAGTGGCCTAACCAATGTCCTGTATAGCCGCTACATGCCCTCCCAACTCCTATACTCAATGCACTGATCAATAAATGCAAGCGTACCAAATGTCTTCTTCACTATCCTATATACCTGCAACTCCACTTTCAGGGAACTATGAACCTGCACTCCAAGCACTCTGTTCATCAACGCTCCCCAGGACCTTACCATTAAGTGTATAAGAATTGCCTTGATCTGCCTTTCCAAAATGCAGCACCTCACATTTATCTAAATTAAACTCCATCTGTCACTCCTCAGCCCATTGACCCATCTAATCAAGATCCTGTTGTACTCTGATGTAAACTTCTTCGCTGTCCACTACACCTCCAATTTTGGTGTCATCTGCCAACTTAGTAACCATACCTCCTGTGTTCACATCCAAATCATTTATATAAATCATGAAAAGCAGTGGACCCAGCACCGATCCTTGTGGCACACCACTGGTCACAGGCCTCAAGTCTGAAAATCAACCTCCACCACTGCCTTCTACCTTTGAGCTATTTCTGTATCCTAATGGCTCATTCTCCCTGTATTCCATATGATCTAACCTTGCTAACCAGTCTACCATGATGAACCTTGTCAAATGCCTTACTGAAGTCCATATAGATCACATCCACTGATCTGTCCTCATCAATCCTCTTTGTTACTGTTATCACTGAAATAACTCCACAGAGGCCGGTATCCCATCAAAGGTCACCTTTTATTTTCACATGGAAAGCCCTTTACACTGATCCACTTCCCTCAGAGCCATTTCTTAGAGTGAACAGGATGTCTGACACTCCTGTTCTAATGTGTTATTGAGGACACCCTGATTGGACTAGATTAACAGCCCCAGTCAGGGAACTCATATTCCAAGAGGTCAGTCTGGCTGACCTCATTACAATCACTACATCTTAAGCCTGAGTAAAATACTGGTTCACTCTCAACAGGAGCAGGACATCCAGTTGTGGGCACAATCCTCTAGGAAGTATGTGAAGGCACTGGAGGGGTTTTCAGAAACAGTTCATGAGAATGGTTCCAGTGGAGAGGGATTTCCGTTATTTGCAGAAACTGGGGCTGTTCTCCTTGGAGAAGAGTGAACAGTTTTGATAGAAATATTCAGAGTCATGAGGGATCTAGATAGAATAGATTCGGCAAAATCTGTTCCTATTGATGAAAGGATCAAGAACAAGAGAGCATAGATTCAAGGTGATTGGCGAAAACAAAAGTAGAGTTGATTGGAGGAATACCATTTCCTAAATGGCAAGTGTTTGAGAGCTGCACTGCACTGCGCCGCGCCATATGAGTGTGGTTGAGACAGCTGTCAAACATAATTAGATATGCACGTAAAGAGAAAACATTTGCAGGGCTATAAGAAAGTAGACAGGAGTGGGGCTGCATTAATTAGTCTTGCAGAGAGCGAGCATGGACTCGATGGGTCAAACAGCCTCCTTCTATGCTATAACCTTTCTATGATTCTATAACATTCCTTAATTTGTAATGAACTTGAGGGATAATTAAGTCCTAATTACCGTTACTTCCACCAATATCTGACTACTGGGTATTGTTAGGCACAGGCATAATTCAGTACTTGTTATTTTAATCACTAGTTGCTGTTAGGTGGTAGCTATGTATTTTTAATATTAGGTGCAGGAATGATTGGGTATTAGTTACTATTGTATAAAGAATGCTAGAGTACTAGTTAGGTTCATAGTAATTTGAATACTAGTTTTCTTGGATATGAGAATGGTTGAGTGCTGATTACTGTTTGGTCCAGGAATAGTGGTGTATTAGTTATTATTGAGTGGGAATGGCAACATAAATGATTACTGTTTGATTCAAGAATGATTGAGTTCTAGTTATTGTTACGTATGGGATGTCTCTTTATTCATTCATGGGATGTGGGTATCACTGGTTAGGCCAGCATTTATTGCTCAGCCTTAATTGACCTGGAAAAGGTGGTTGTAAGCTGCCTCCTTGAACCGTTGCAGTCCTTGAGGTGAAAGGGTACCTTAATAATGCTGTTAGGATGGGACTTCCAGGATTTTGACCCAGCAATAGTGAACATATAGAGATGTAGCTCCAAGTCAGGATCATGTGTGACTTTAGGAGTGGGCTTCTAGGTAGTCCCAATGCATTTGCTGTCCTTATCTGTCTAGGTACTGTTTTGGAAGGTTCTGTTGAAGGAGTAACTAGTGAGTTACTGCAGTATATCTTGTAGATGATAAACATGCATGCCATTAGGGGCAAAGGGAGTGAATAGTTCAGGTGGTGATTGGTGGTGAGTCACGCAGGCTGCTTTGTTCTTTATTGTATCCAGCTTCTCGAGTGTTTTTGGAGCCACACCGTCCGGGCAAGTGGGGAGTATGCCATCACACTTCTGACTTGTGCCTTGCAGATGGTGAACAGGCATTGCAGGACAGAAGAAAGCTACTTGATGCAGAATTCCCCCCCTCTGAACTATGCCCGAAACCACAGCATTTATATGGCTGCTTCAGTTCAATTTCTGGTTTATTCTAATCCCCAGAATGTTGATAATGGGGGATTCAGCGACAGTGACACTATGAATGTCAATGGGCAATGGTTAGGTTCTCTGCTGGAGATTGTCATTGTCATTGCCTGGCAATTGGTTGGCACAAATGTTACTTGTCACTTAGAAGCCGAAGCCTGGGTGTTGTTGTACCAGTTATTGTTGCAGAAATGGTCAAATAGTAATTACTGTTGAGAACAGAAGTGGATGAGAACATGTTACTGTTAAGTTTAGGAGTAGTTGAGTACTTTTACTGTGGAGTGTGGGAATGGCTGAGTCCTAGTTACTAGTGGACATGGTTATAGTTGAATATTGGGTGCATGAATGGTTGAATACTGATTGCTGCTGAATATGTGAGTGATTGAGTAGTAATTACAATTGTGTCTGGTGATAACTGAGTTTTATTACAGCTGGTGTTTACTGACTCCTGTGGCAGTTTGGTTTGTGACACCTCTTAAGCATCTTTGCTAATCTCTGTAACAACATGTGCTGCATCTCTGTACTTTTGCAGACCTTACCCAAATTGGTGATTTGTGTGGAGTCGCTGATGAAAATTTGGAGAAATCCTTTAGGAGGAGACACCCCTGGCATGTTCTCATGGAAATTCCGGTAGGTTTTACATATAATGACGGAAATAGCAGGATATAATCAGGGTCTCGATAGATTTTATCACTATATCACAGAAATATTCTAGTCCCAATCTCCTTGCAGGGTGGTTTGTTCCTGTATTAGGAAGTGTTTAAGTTAACTTGACAAAGCATTTTTTAAAAAAATCATTTAAAGTTCATGCGGGGGCCACTGGCTGGGCCAACATTTATTTGTCCTTGAAAAGGTGGTGGTGAGCTGCCTTCTTGAACCGATGCAGTCCATTGGATGCACATCAAAGAGGAAGTTTCAGGATTTTTGACCCAGTGATATTGAAGGAAAAGGCAATATATTTCCAAATCGATACATTATGTATCTTGAAGGGAACATGATAGGAGCAGGTGGTAGTGTTTCAAGTGTCTGCAGCCCTTATCCTTGTAGATTGTAATGGTGCATCTTGGTCCATTGCTGCTATTGAGCGTTGGTGGTGGAGAGAGTAAACGTTTGTGAATGTGGTGCTTTTCAAGTGGCTGCTTTGCTTGTCCAGGAAATTGGAGAATATTCCATCAATTGACAATGGTCATCATTAGTTTCTTGATTCCAGAGATTCATTGAATTCACATTCCACCCAGAATATTACTTGGATCTCTGGATTATAGTCCAGCAATAATACCACTAGGTCGTCGCAATGGTGATACTGTTGAATCTTTAATAACCATTTATGCCATGAAAGCTCCGGAAATTAATGTTTTCCCAGGATTTTTCAAATGAAATTTCCTTCCTCTTTTCCAAAAGCATGATTCTTTCTGAAAATCTAACTCCTGTTAATATTGGGAATCTATCCACATTTGACAACTTAGGACAATCCAGCAATATAGAGGCAATAACAGAATTACTAACGCAAACAAAAAGTGCTGGAGAAACTCAGCAGCATCCTTGGCCTGTATGTGACTCCAGACTCACATTAATGTGGTTGACTCTTGACTACCCTCTGAAATGGCCTAGCAAGCCATTCAGTTGTATCAAACACTTCGAAAATCTCAAAGAAATGAGACTGGACTGACCACCCGGCCTTGACCTATGCACTGAAAGCAACAACAGCAAGTATAGCCCTGCAGCATCTTCCTTACCAAAATCTGGAGGCTAGTGTTAAAATTGGGAGAGCTGTCCCACAGACTAGTCAAGCAACAGTCTGACATAGTCATACTCCTGGAATTGTGCCTTACAGGTAACATCCAAGACAGGACAGGTATGTCCTGTCCCACCAGCAGGACAGAGATAGTGGCAGAGTGATATACTGTTGGGAAGGAGTTGCCCTCGGAGTCCTCAATATTGACTGCTGACCCAAGAAGTCTCACGACATCAGGTCAAACATAGACAAGGAAGCCTGCTGCTGATTACGCCGCACCATCTTCCCTAGGCTGATGAATTAGTACTCCTCCACGTTGAACAACACTTGGAGGAAGCACTGAGGGTAGCAAGGGCACAAAATGTACTCTGGTTGGTGTCTTCAGTGTTCATGTCCAAGAGCGACTGGCAGAACCACTAATGACCAAGCTGGTCGGGTCCCAAAGGATATAGCTGCTAGACTGGGTCTGCAGTAGGTGCTGACGGAACCAACAAGAGGAGCAAATACATTATGACCTCATCGTCATCAGTCCGCTGCTTCAGATACATCTGTCCATGGCAATATTGGTAAGAAGGACGACTGCACAGTCCTTATGGAGTTGAAGTCCTGTCTTTGTACTGATTGCATCTTCCTTTGTGTTGTGTGGCATTGTAACTGTGCTAAATAGGACAGACTTTGAACGGATCTAGCAACTTGAGACTGGGCACCCACGAGGCATTATGGGCCATCAGCCGCAGCAGAATCATATTCTGACACCATCCCCAGCCTCATGGTCTGGCATATCACACCACTCCACCATTACCATCAAGCCAGTGGATCAACCCTGGTTCAATGAAGCAAAAGCAGGAGGGCATTCTAGGAGCGTTACCAGGCATACTGAAAAATGAGCTATCGACATGGTGAAGCTACAACACAGGACAACTTGTGCACCAAACTGCATAAGCAACAAGTAACAGATGGATTAGCCCCATCCAGTTGTGATTGTTAGTGGACAATTAAACAAATCAGATGAGGAGAAGCCCAGCAAATTTCCACATCCTCAATGAAGGGGCTGCCCAGTGCAAAACAGAAGGCTGAAGCATTTGTACCAGTTAGGCATCATCCTCCCAAGATCCTCAGCATCACAAATGTCAGCCTTCAGCCAGTTCAATTCACTCCATGTCACATCAAGAAACTGGATACTGCAAAGTCTATGGGCCCTGACAATAGTATTGAAGGCACATGCTCCAGGACTTGCTGCGCCCCTAGTCAGCCTGTTCCAGTGCAGTTAGATCACTGGCATCTACTTGGCAAAGTATAAAACTGCTCAGGTATGCCCTCTGCTCAACAAGCAAGACAATTCCAACTCACCAATAACCACCCCACCCCATTAGTCCACTGTTGATCATCTACTCTCCTCAACACTGACATTCGGTAGCAGCACTGCAAAAATTCAGCGAGGCTCAAACAACTTCCAAACCCGTGACCACTATCATCTAGGAGAATAAATGTAGCAGGTGCACTACATGCAAGTTCTCCTCCAAGTCTCTCATCATCATGACTTGGAATTAAATCCTTTTAAAGTTCCTTTACTGTTGATGGGTCAAAATCCTACAACTCCCTGGCTAATAGCAAATGATTGCAGCAGTTCAAGAAGGCAGCTCACCACTGCCCTGAAGGACAATGGGGATCCTAATTGAGCCAGTGAAACATGTAACTTCTGGATGAATTAGAAAAAAATATTGGATTTCACCTGACAAAGGGACAGCGCTTTAAAAGATTGTGATTTCAAACAAACCTGTTGGACTATAATTTGGTGTCACATGATTTCTGATTTTGCCAAAGTAATACCAATTTCACTATTCTGTCTGAAATTAAATCTTCTTTTTTAGCCCCCACCATTTAGGAAACCATCCTCTGCCACGCTGTTAATAGATTCCAAGCCATTTGGAATGATTGAGATCAAAATGTGCAATTCTTTCATTTTGCATTCCACCAGGGCCACTCAGCTCCTGGCCTCAGTAAAGCCTTAGTTCAAACATGGACAAAGGTGCTGAATAACAGAGGTGAGGTGAGAATGACAGCTGTTGACATCAAGATCCTATTTGACTGAATGTGGGATCAAGGAGACCTAGCAAAATTGGAATCGTTGGGTATCGGGGGCAAACTCTCCACTGCTTAGAGTCATATCCAGCACATTGGAAGTTGGTTGTGGTTGTTGAAAGTCCATCATTTCAGCTCCAACAATACTTCTGAAGGAGTTCTTCAGAATAATGTCCTAGTCCCAGTTGGCTTCAGCAGTTTTATCAATGAACTTTTTCCCATTTTAAGGTCAGAGTGGGGAACTTCACTGATGATTACACGATGTTCAGCACCGTATATGACTCTCAGATACTGAAGCAGTCCTTTTTCAAATGCAACACAGCCTGGACAATATCCAGGCTTGGACTGGCAAGTGGCAAGTGGCAAGTAACATTTGTGCCACACAAATGCCAGGCTATGACCATCACCAATAAGGGAAAATCTAACCACTGCCCCTTGACATTCAAGGTGTTACCAATCTCTCATTATCAATATCCTGAGGTTACCATTGATCAGAAACTCAACTGGGCTCACCACATAAACACAGTAGCCACAAGTCCAGATCAAAGGCTTGGAATATTGAACGAGTAACTCAGTTCCTGATTCCCCAAAGCCTGTCTACCATCCACCAGACACAAATCAGGAGTGTCAAGGAATATTCCCCGCTTGCCTGGATGGGTGTAGCTCCAACAACACTCAAACTTGACACCATACAGGACAAAGCAACCCACTTGATTGACATCACATCCACAAACATCCACTCCTTCCACCATCTGCACAATGGACTGCAGAAATTCACCAAAGATCCTTAGCCAGTACCTTTCAAACCCATGAGGACTTCAATCTAGAAGGACGAGGGTAGCAGATACTTGGGAACACCTACACCAGCAAGTTCCCCTTCCAAGCCACACACCATCCTGACTTGGAAATATATCGCTGTCCCTTCATTGTCGCTGGGTCAAAATCTTGGAATACCCTGCCTAGGGCATTGTGGGTCTACCTCCAGCAGTTCAAGAAGGCAGCTCACCACCACCTTCTCCAGGGAAATTAGGGAAAGGCAATAAATGCTGGCCAGCCAGCAATGCACAAGTCCTTCCAGTAAATAAAAAAAAGTCTTTTCTCCCTCATTCCACTCCCAGTGTTACAGGTCCATATATGTGTGTGGTCAGAGAATTATAATATCCACCAAATGTTTATCCTTAACTGTAAATAAAGGCATTGACAAAATTAACAATTTATTAACCAGACATCAATTTGTTGTGGAGGATGATCAGTTATGGTTTCCAGTGGGAATTGGATGAGACTCTGAAGGGAAAAAAGTAATGGAGGCTATTGAGTGTCAGCACTGCATTGGAACTTGGTTAATTGGCCCTGCAGAAGGCTGCCATTAACACTATAGGCCGAATAGTTTGTTTTCCCTTATACACATTACACTCTTTGTTATTCTTAATTTTCCACGAAGGAGAATTTCGGACACAATCTCTTTGAAATGTATCAAATTTTGGAGGGGTTGACATGGTAGATATACAGAGAGCAATGGGGAGACTGGAACTAGGGGCTATAGACCTGCAACAGCGGGCAGGTCATTTTAAGACTGAGGTAAAGAGAATTTCTTCAGGTGAAGTCTTTCACATTCTCTGGTCTGGCCTGCAACAATGTAGTTGACTCAAAAGGACCCTCTGACATGTCCTAGATAACTACTCAGTTCAAGGTCAAGCAACATACCGTGGAAGAATAAACAAACTAATGGAGATTGAGAATTTAGAGTTAAGATGTAAGATCAGCTATGAGCAACTTGGATGCTGGAGCAGGCTCGGGCAGGCGTATGGTCTACTCCTGATCCTTTGTCTTCTTGACCTGCACCTCAAAGTTGTGTGTGCTCTTCACCTCTCCCTCATCCTTTCATGCAATCCACTCCTCTATTGTCTGTGCCTTTTCATTCATCTGTACCTATCCATCTCAATGGTTCATTGTTTCACCTTGCCAATGAGGACCAGTAATGAGTGGTGCTCTCTTCACCATGCAGGGCATCGGTAGTTGCAGTGGAGCCATCGTGTCCCCACAGTGGGTCCTGACAGCTGCTCATTGCTTGAAAGATGTGCAGACTAAGTTGGACATCGAAAAGATTACGGTGCAAGTTGGTAAGGGTTTTCTTTCCACTTCTCATCACCCAACCACATGAAAAGTTGAATGACCTCCTTCCAATGTTTAAAGGTGAAGTTGTTCATGCACTAGGGAGCACTTCGGTTACGCCACAGTTAGAGTGCTGCGTGGAATTCTGGTCACCACACTATAGGAAGGATGCGATTGCCCTGAAGTTGGTACAGACAAGATTCACCAGGACGTTGCCTCGGATGGAGCATTTTTGCTATGAAGAGAGATTGTCAGAATGTTTTCTTTAGAGCAGAGAAGGCTGAGGGAAGATCTGATTGAGATGTGTAAGATGCTGAGGGGCATGGACAGGCTGGATAGGTAAAAAAAAATTTCCCTTAGTCAAAAGGGCCGTAATTTTAAAGTGAAGGGAAAGAAATTGAGAAGGTATTTGAGGAAAATATTTTTCACCCACAGCAAGGTGGGAATCTGGAATTCTCTGGCTAGGAGGACAGTAGAGGTGAGAAACCTCACCATTTTAATAAAAACTACATGGATGACCCCTTGAAATGTCATAACTTTTAAGGCTATGGACTAAGTGCTGGAATGTGGGATTAGTGTAGATAGGTTGGCACAGACTCGATGGGTAAAGGACCTCTTAGGTGCAGTATAACTCTACGACCTTATGACCACAACTTCTGCCCAGAAGCAAACACTGCCAATGTCCCACCATCCTTTCCCAAATCTCCAAAGACTAATCTTAATCCTTTTAGTTTCGCGGTAAACTATGATGGCTAATAGTTCTCAGATTCGTTGATGGGCAAGAGTGAATATTACATAAGGAAAATTTGCGCAATGTAAAGGGTTGACCACAGCAGTAGTCTAGCTCTATTTGGTCCAGAGCTTGGGGCTATAATTCTAAGGATATGCACCCACAGGTCATCCCAAAGGCCAACACACCACCTCAGTGCTGTTGAGAATAAGACTGCTGGGGGGAGGACAAAATCAGAATACTTGAATGGTGGAGCATTCTCTGGTCTTCCTAACTGGCTTCAAGACAGAAAGCAGAGTGTGGGAGTAAAGAATAGTTATTCAGTATCACAGAAAATTGGGTAGTGTTGTTCTGCAAGGTTCAAATGCCAGAAAACCTGCTCTTCACAATGATTATGATTTTGGAATCAAAAGCACAATTTCTAAATTGGAGGGAAAATAACTACCGCAGGGCAGAACTGCAACAAATTGCAGGAAGGTATTAATAATGGTAGAGAATAGTCAAATAATTAGCAAAAGTATGTTAACACTGTTTAATGTGAGTTAGGACATTTTGAAAGAACGATTAGGGAGGTCACTCATTACGTGGAAGGTGCAAATCCAGGTGGGGTCAAGAGTTTGAGGGACAGTGAGATCTCCAAGTACAAATTCACCAATCACTAAGAATGTACCACATATTAGCAGTTATAAAAAAGCAAACCATGCACCAGGCTTTATGTTTAGAGTGATAGAATTGAAAAGTAGCAAAGTATTAAACCTTATTTAGATACATGAGTACTGTGTGCTCGCCATATTATGAGTTTTACTTTTGCAACATTAAAGGACAGACCGTCTTCCTTGTGTTACTAACCCTGAGGGTGGCTGATCTTTGATGAGGTGAATAGCTGCCATCAGTTAGATTGTAAATAGCAGCCCACTGCCTGAATGACATTGGTCCAGAGTTGGACAGATTCTGTTTCAGGTCCCCCATGCAAGACAGTTGCAATCACATCATCATGAAGCAGCTGCACATTCCTTGACCTGCATTTATATAGCACCTTGAATGCAAAGACAGCATTAGAGATGCTCCTCACTAGCCTACAACTCCCTCGACCTGGAAGGCAGTGGCAAAGAGAAACAGCGAGGTAATGAAAGACAGAGGGAAACAATTAAATGCAGAGAGTTAAAGAAGAGATGAAGAGGAGGGGCCAGACCAAAGCATTAACAAACACTTGGGTTCTGAGGAGAGTTTTGCAATGGGGTTCTCAGAGGAAGGGGTTTCATGGTAGAGTTACCTTATTTTTAAGGTGTTATACAGCAGGAGCAACATCATTTCCTTTGGCACTTCATTAGAAGCAATGGTTTTGACACCCGAGTCTTGTGAAGAAATGTTAGGACAGGTGACAAGAAGCTGAATCAAGGAGGTAGGTTTTGCTGAGCACCTTACAGGGGGAGAAATGTTGGAGACATTTTGAGAGGGTGTTCCTCTCTAACTTACAGCACCAAAAGCGGTAGATACCAGTAGTGGAGCTTCGGAAATTGGGAAATGGTGGGAATGCCTAGAGGGGCAAGAGAGTGAGTGGGTGTAAGCTTAAAATATTCACTTATGAAGAATGATTTATGTTTCTCCTGATTCAAATCTGCAGGTGATAAATTTCGCCTTAATCGTGTGGAACAAGTGTACCCACATCCACAGTACAATCTATCAGGGCTGCTCGATGAGAAAATCTCCCAATTTTACGACTATGATGTGGCATTGCTCAAACTGAAGAAAACAATAAACTTTTCAGAAACAAACAGGTAACTTGTGTCTTTATTCTGTGGATATTTGCCATTAGGAGAAGCCATTCAGTCCATCTTAATTTTCCTGTCCAGAGAAGAACCTATGACTCTTCTCCCTTCGCTGCACTTGGTTGTTGTATTAACACATGGAGCGGACTCTAGAACAGAATATTATGCTTTTATTTCCATTACTCTACCTGCAGACACATTCCAAATGTTGATCACATTTTGTGTAAAAGATTTGACCTGATGTGAGTCCAAGTTTGGCTCCTTAGCCAAGCTGTCTGTTCTCTTGGGCTTGAACAGTTTTTGAAATATATCTTCTCCATTTACCTTTGTCAAGCCCCTAACTATATTGTATCACTTTAGAAGATCCCCTCATATTTTGCTGATCTAAAGTGAATACCCAAAGTCTCGTCAGTATTTTCCTGATTTCATTCCCCCCTTATTCCATCGAATGAATTTTTGGACACCAAGAGACTTAAAGAGATATAGGGATAGTGCAGGAAAGCAGGGTTGAGGTAGACTAAATTGAGCAGCATGTTCGAAGGGCCAAGTGCTCTTGATTCATACATTGCAATATATATTCTTGGGAATGAAAGTGTTTTTTCTTAACGTCCAGAAGTTTATGTTGCCCACCAGTGCTAGGATTTAGGACATCTGCTCAGGGCTGGACAAGAAGCAGGAATGGGAGACATCTTGGCCCATGTAGGTATCAAAGACATAAAACAAGGAGAAATGTTCTGCTTTGACAGCGTGAGCAGCTAGGCAACAAATTCTAGAGCAGAACCTCGAAGGTAACAAGCTGCATGCCAATTTGCAGAGGGACTCTTAAGATTAGCAAAGTGAATAAACAACTCAGTGACTAATGTGGGAGAAATGGGTACCAGTTCGTGTGGCACTAAAGTCAATACTGGAGTCCGTATTTTAGGGATTTAACACACCTCTACCATGCTAGGAACAGTCTTCTAGCATATCATAAAACTAGTGGATATGGAGAGGGGTATAAACTAAACAATGGGGTGGAAGATCAAGGAATTGATGTAAAAGATCAAGGGAGAGCAAAAATAGTAATATGGAAAATGAAGGTCAGGAAATGACAGGAATAGACAGAGATAATAAACCTAAGAATACACAAACAGTCAAGACTAGATGTTATAATGAGAACAAAAAGACAGAATTAAAAGCCCTATACTAGAATGTGCATTGTATCCATAATAAAGTTAATAATTTTATAGTGCACATTCAAAAACAAATAAATGTGATCTGATATTAGTTATGGAGACATGGCTGCATGATGAGAAGTTTTGGATTCTGAATATTGATGGATATTTGACATTCAAGAACAATGGGAAGCTAAAGAGATGGCACTGTTAAGCAATGCTAGCATTATTGCAATAACTAGAGATGGCCTTGATTCAGGAGATCGGGATGTATGATTGGTTTGGTTGGAGATGAAAAACTAGGTAGCTCTATTTAAAAGTTAAGAGTCTCCTTTTCAGGACAGATTGGGAAGAATTTTTTTTTCTCTCTGAGGGTTGTGAGACATTGGAACGCTCTGGCTCAAAGGCAGATAGGTAGATAGATTGATTCTTTTTAGGCAAGAGAATCAAAGGTTGATGGGAATGTGGAATTTGAAACACAAATATAATAGCCATGATCTTATTGAATGATGGAGCAGGCTGAAAAAGCCAAATGGCCTACTTACAAATGTATGCATGTATGAATTAGAATAGAAATGTGTTTTGTGTTGTTTGACAGTAATTCAAAAAACGATATAAGTGACAGGCTTCAATAGTGGGAATGAAAGGTCCAGATTTTCTGATGTACATTCACATGTACCAACATACTTACAGATTTTTATGTGTTTACTTTGCACTCTTGCTCAGAATTTCATATTGTGTTCCGTATTCTGTTTATGCAAAACCACAAGCCACTAAATATTATTAAGTAACATTATTTATTCCCAATTAGTCTTGTTGTGATGATGATCAATTATGTAAATTGTACTTAAACACATTTAGTAACAGGAATAAATAGTATTCTATCAGGTCAACCATAATAATGTATGCCACTTCTAACAATTATCCAGTGTAAAGTGTAGAATAGTCAGAATGTACAATCTGTATCAGAATATTCTTCTTGGTCACATAAAATAAATCTATATTATTAAGTGTTGAATCTTCATTCACGCTAGTGTAAAATATTCCTTTTTGAAAGTTTATTGCAAGAGTCTCATATTCTTGCACCTCTTTGTTGTGAAGATTGAAGGATGAGATGAATTTCAACGTAACGGTTTGGTTTGTTAAATTTGAGAATGTTTTCTAGGAAGAATGACACTTGTAGGAATTTGATTTGCATTGTTTACAGCGGAAGAGAGAGTGAGAGATACCTTTCACTAGAGCCAATAAACCAAGTGAGCAAGAGCAGGCATGGAATTCTCCAACTAAAACCATGAATATTCCAGCGTAGCTGCTTATCCATTTGTATCATTGATAGTAATCTTTCCTGATATTGATAAATATTCAACAATCCTTTTAATGATAATCTGTTTGTTTTAGTCGATCCATCTGTTTACCATGCACAAGAGAAACAACAAGAGCCATCCGAAAACCATTCCCAGGAACAAGCTGTCGTGACCACGGTACGTGTGAATAATGTAACTTACAGTCAAACTTGTTATGACTGAGTGCCAGAGTATGTTTGATGAAGAATTCTTTCACTTAAGCAGTGTACTTAAGACTGTTCTGGCAAGCTTGCATAAAATTGTTCAAGCAAAATTAGATGCAAGATGGTGAGCCATTTAAACACTATAACTGGTTAGCTCAGACAGCTGGTTTGTGCTGCAGAGTGATGCCAACAGTGCGGGTTCGATTCCAGCACCAGCTGACGTTACCATGAAGCTGCCACCTTCCCAACTCACGCGTTGCTTGAGGTATGGTGACCCTCAGGTTAAACGACTATCAGTCATCCCTCTCCGATGAAAGAGCAGCCCTGTGGTCGTCTGGAACTATGGTGACTTTACTGATACCTCATGCATAGTGTAATGGACTTAAAACTGAAACTGACTTGCACTGGGACTTGATTGCTTTTGAAGTGACTTTTCCGATAACTGGTTCATTCTGTGCATGGTTCACTTTGTGACTGACTAATGCTATTGCTGACCAGCTTCTGGAGAGACAATGACACAGTCTTTGCTGACCCTGACAACTGACCCATGCTGTGATCTGGCTGGGCAGTGAGGAGCGGGACTTTGCAAATTCCTCTGGGTCAGACAGGGCTGTTAGCTGGGCCACATTGAATCAATTACCTTCTTCTGTGCAGACAGGGAGCTATTACCAAAAACCATGCCAGTCCCAGCCATCTTTGTGAAGCGCGACAAGAGATTGGAGTCAGAGGCCATTGTCAAGATTAAGACATCTGATGCTGTAAGTGATACCTCCATCATCCCTTGTAATGTGGAACCTTGCTATTCCTTGGGATACCCTCTTAAAGAGGTGTCTTTCCATAAGGTCTAGTGAACCATGATGTCCATTCAACCTCATTGGACCCTGTGCATGCAGCCCACATACCCTTCAAAGATGATAATAGTGAGTCTGAATCATCAGTGTTGTAAGGTACCACATGGCAACAGACTGGACAGAGACAAATGATTCTGTGTGAAGTCTCAGGCAGCAGGAAAGGTAGATAAAGTGGTTAAGGAGGCTAATGGTATACTTGCCTTTATTACCTGGGGCATATAGTTTAAGAATACATGATGCTGAAAATGTTATAACACGTTGTGCCACGAGTAGAGTATCATATGCAGTTTTGGAAGCCACATTATAGGAGGGATGTGATTGCACTGGAGAGGGTGCATGGGAGATTGACATGACGATGATGCCTGGGTTGGAGAGTTTCAGTTATGACATGAGTTTGGACAGACAGAGATTGTTTTCCTCGCAACAGAGGAGATTGAGAGGAGATATGATTGAGATGTACAAAGTTATGAAGGGCATAGGTAGGATAGACTGGATGGAGTTTGTCCCCTTGGTGGAAGGATCATTGACTAGGGCATAGTTATATGATAAGGGGCAAGAGGTTTAAAGGGGATGTGAGGAAGATATTTTTTGCCCGCAGGAATCCGGAACTCACTGTGGTAGAGGCAAAAACCGTCATAACATTTAAGAGATATCCAGATGTGAATAGGTGAACAGGCAGAGTTTTTTTCCAAGAGTAGGGAGTCCAAAACTAGAGGGCATAAGTTTAAGGTGAGAAGGGAAAGATTTAAAAGGGACCTGAGGGGCAACTTTTCTCGCAGAGGGTGGTGCGTGAGTGGAACGAATTGTCAGACCAAAGTTTTGGAGGCTGGTGCAATTACATCATTTAAAAGGCTTCTGGATGGGTAGTGAATAAGATGGGTTTAGAGGGTTATGGGCCAAATGCTGGCAAATGAGACTAGATCAGTTTAGGATTTCTGGTCAACAAGAACAATTTGGATCAAAGGGTCTGTTTTGTGCTGTATAACTCTGTGACTCTGTGTATACTTTCAATACGGAGGCACACAAGGCTATGGACCAAGAGCTGGAAAATGAGATTAGAATAGTTAGATGGGTGTTTTTGACGAGGACATAGTCAATGAGCTGACGGGCCTTTTGCTGTGTTGTAGATCTCTGGGTCTATGAATCATGCTCAGCCTTATTCTGTAATTAGTTGGGAGATTGATTGTAAAAGGTAAAGTTGCTAAGTCTATATTCCAGCAGTCTCTATTGATCCTGGCTAAGGGCACAGCCCATTATAAAGCCCAATATGTGGAGGAGGAGGAGGCAGTCACTAAACTGAGATCTCAAACTGGTTCCCACCTGCCATTCCCTCCTGCCTGACAGCCAACACTCACTGTCTTCTGCTGAGACCTAAATAAAAGCAAATGATTTTGAAGACCTGAAATTGCGCGATGCTGGTCTCAAAACATTAAGTCTGTTTCAGTCTGCACAGCGGCTTTCAGACCTACTGAGTTTGCTCATAGATCATAGAATCCCTACAGTGTGGATGGAGGCCATTTGGCCCATTGAGTCCACAGTGACCGTCCGAAGAGCATCCCACCCAGACCCATCCCATCCCTGTAACCCTGCATTTCCCAGTCTTTCCTTCATTTTTGTATCCACAATGCTTAAAACTGGCAATTATCACCTCACTAAAGCCACAGCTTTTTATTTAAGTCTAAAAATTGGGAATGTCAGTCAAGGTGTTCTGATGTGTCCTTGCCTGTACTTTCACCGTTTTTGCCTCTCCACTTAGCTGAGAGATGCCTGTGAGGCAAATGCACTCCATGCTGAAGAATACAAACACGTTACTGATGTGCGGAAGGTGGTAACAGACAGATTCCTCTGCACTGGAGGACAAGAACCTACAGCTGAGGAGGTTTCCTGCAAAGGTATATGGCTCAGTAATTTAACCTCAGCACTTTGACTGTTTTATTGTGTGTCTGTTTGTGACTCTGTGTCTATTTCTGTATGTTTCTGCATGTATATCTGCGCATGTGCTTTTGTGCATTTGGGTACTTGCCTCTGTTTTTTGGGTGTCTCTGTTGCTGTGTATTTGTCTGTATACGTGTGCCTGTATGCTTATGTATGCATATGCCTCTCTGGGTGTGGCCATTTAGGTATTTATAGTGAATGTGCTTGCATGTGTGACTGCCACCTTTGTGTCTGCATGTGTGTCTATTTGTATTTCCGTGAGTGTGCTTATATCTGTGCCTCTGTATTGGTGCTTGTGTATTTGTGTGAAGGATCAACCATCAGGAAGAAATTATTTCCACTGGCAACCAGAGAATACAAGTTTAAATAATTAGCAAGAACTCGAGGAGAATGTTTTTCTATCTATGAACTGTGATCTGGAAAGTGCTGCTTGAAAGGGCAGTGCAAGCAGATTCACTCATAATTTTCAAAAGGGGGAATTGAATAAACACTTGAATGGGCAATTTTTGTGGATATAGGAAAAGACAAGAGAGTGACAGCAAAGTTGGATGACTCTTTCATAGAACCAGCACAGATACAAAAGTGTTGTAAGGATCTTCAATTCAATGTTTCAATTTCTTTAAAAAAAAATGACTGTGTTTAGTCACATCTTGCCATATTGATTTGCAGGTGACTCGGGGGGTGCCTTATATGTGGAGAAAAAACGACGATTCATTCAGGTGTGTTTTACAGTTCCTGCAGATTCTTTGTTTCCCTTTAGGGATATGTTTGTGTGTTGTAATAAGTGAGGGCAATGGATCAAATTTCAGAAGATTTTAAAATCAAAGAGTAAAGTCAAGGCAAGAGAGAAAGGTAGTTTATATGGAAAATGATGAACAGACCTTAACAGGAAGGGATAGAGAGGACAAATCTAAAATTAAATCAAAAGGTAAGATTGGATGTTGCAGGAATAAGAAACGGACTGTATTAAAGGCTCTATATCTGAATAAACTCATTCAAAACAAAACAGATTAACTGAGAGCTTAAAAAGAAATAAATATGATCTTGTACCTGAAATAACTCTACAGAGGCCAGTATCCTGTCACCAAGTCATCCTTTATTTACAAATGTGCACTCCTTGACCATAATGCTGCCTCATGCAGGGTCAGGGCATGACCTTTTTTATGTCAGCCAGGGCTCCTTGATTGGGGCTGTTAATTTAGTCCAATCATGGAACTCATATTCTGTGAGGCACAGCTGGCTGACCTTGTTACAATCACTATAGTAACAATTACAAAGACATGGCTGCAGGATGACATAGACTGCTCCAATTTGTGGAAGATTTGAGGAGAAAACACAGATTTAAGGTAATTTGCAAATAAATGAAGCAAGAAACGAGGAGGAACTTTATGATGCAATGAGTGGTTAACAGCATCTGGAGTGCTCTGAAATTGTGGTGGAGGAGGCACATTCATTTCAAAGAGAATTAGCTTATTTTTTTGAAAAAGAACCACATGCAGAGCTAATGGGAAAAATGCAGGTAATGGCACTTAGGAAACTGCTCACTTGGAGAGCTCGTACTGATACAACGGGCCAAATGACCACTTCCTAATCTGTAACAATGCTGTGATTTTGTATAATATGCGGTTTCAGTGTGTAATTCTAACATGTGTTTTCCTATATTCTACAGGTGGGCGTTGTAAGTTGGGGAGTTATTAATGTGTGCGATACTGTGAACCCAGACAAGAGACATGCCCGAGACTTCCACCTCAACTTATTCAAAGTGTTGCCATGGTTGAAAGAGAGACTTGGCAAAGTTATGACATTCATAGATTAAGGACAGGAGGAGGCCATTCTGCCCCTTAATTGGATCATGGTTGGTCTCTACCTTAATGCCATCCCTCCACCTCAGTTCCGCAAGCCTCAGTAACCTTACCTCATGAAAAATCTATCAGTCTTAGTTGTTCCAATCTTGAACTGGGGTGTGTTCCAGATTTATCACTACCCCTTGTGTGATCAAGTGCTTCGTGACATCTTCCCTGAGGACCTGGCTCTAGTTTTAAACCAATTGCCCTCATTTCCTGGACTCATCCATTAGTGGGTCTGAGTTCTCTGTTTACCCTGCTGAATATTTTAATCAGTTCAAACATCTCAAAAATATCAGCCCTCAACATTATTGACTCAAGCCAATAAAAAACCTAGTCTCTGCAATGTCTCCTTGTGTTTGGACCTTTTCAGTCCTGGTATAATATCATCAGCAGTGGATCATTCGAACTACCTTAATCAATAAATAAGACCATGGTCTCAACTTTACTAACCTTGTTCCCCTATGACCCTTAACTCCCTTATCAATCAAAAATATGACTAGCCTGACCTCAAACAGATTCAATGATCTACCTGCTCTGGGGTAGAGAATTCCAAATGCCGCAGACCCACCGAGAGGGGAAATTCCTCCGTACCTCCGTCCAAAATGCTCTGCTCCTTCTTAGTTTGGAACTCTGCCCCCGGATCCACCAGGTGAAACATCCTCTCAGCATCTACCCTGCAAACCCCCTTCAGAATCATTTATGTTTTAATTAGATCACTTCTTATTTTTCGAAATGCCAATGAGTATTGGTTCAACCTGCTCAACGTTTTCTTATGAGATATCCCCTTTATCCCAGGGATCAAGCCCAGTGAACTAGTACTGAACTGCTTCCAATGCAGTAATTAAGGAGATAAATTTTATACACTGTCTTCTAGATGAAATGTCACCATTATCTTGCACAGTTGTAGCAAGACTTCCCAACATTTATATGTTATATTCTTGCAATAAGAGTCAAAATTTCCTTTGCCTTCCTAGTTTTTTTTACTGTGCCTGCATGCTGACGTTTTGTTAATCATTTATAAGGACACTTACAGATCTCTCAACAAAAAATGAAAGAACTGCCGATTCTGGAAATCAGAAACAAAAACTGAAATCGCAGGAAAAATGCAGCAGGTCTGGCAGCATTTGTGCAGAGAAATCAGAGTTAACAGTTTGAGTCCAATGACCCTTCTTCAAAACAGAGGTCCCTCTGTGCCTCAGCATTCTGCAGTCTCTTCTATTTAAGTATTCCAGGTTATGAAATATTCCAGGTTATGAAATAATTCTTGTGAGTCTGCACTGCATCTCCTCCAAGGCTACTAGTTCCTTCCTGAGATGCGGTGAACAACTGAATACAGTTACTCCAGATGGAGTCCATCCTGAGTTTTAATGCATCTACATACTGCCATTCATAACCGAGTTCGCTTTCAGACAAAGGCCAACATTCCATTAGCTTTCTTGATTTTATTTGTACCTGTTTATGAATATTTTTGAAGTATTTTCTGTAGTTGGGCCTTCTAAATCTCCGTTCATCCACAGTTCCTTGCTTCTTGCCGTTTAGAAAATATTCTGATCTTTTCCACATCTCCATCTGCCGTAGTTTTGCCCGCACATTAAATCGGTCGCTGTATCTGCAACTTTCCCCTCCCATCTGCATCATTGACCATTCTACCGAAGATGGTGTCACTTGCATATATCGTTTCTTCATTCTTTCTCCTGGGCTATTTACATACATGGTGAAAAACAGTGATCCCTGGGATTTTCTGAAGAAGTGTCCTGACCTGAAACATCAGCTTTCCAGCTCCTCTGATGCTGCCTGGCCTGCTGTGTTCCTCCAGCTCCACACTGTTTTATCCTTGGGAGTACACCAGGAAATTTCCTGACAATTAAAATATATACCATTATCTCCCATCTTTGCAATCTACCTTGTAGCTATTTCCCTGTGTGTCAATAGATTATCTCCAGTTTCATATGCTTTAATTTTTGTGAACAGTCTCTCACAATGGAACCTCATTGAATGTCTTCGGGAACTCCATATCAATAATATATAGACATGCCCCAATGCAGCATTTGGGTTACATTCTTGGAATGTTGGATTGTGACTTAGGAGAAGGATTAGATTGTTCAATCCTTTCGTCCTACACCATCATTTGATAAGACCATGGCTGATCTGGTTGTGGACATTTTCTGTCTGTCCTCATAGCCCTGGGCTATGAAAAGTCTACCTAACCTGGTCTTGAATAAATTTAATGACGCCTCAATACTTTTTGGGGAATTGAATTTCATTGACTTGAGAGAGAGAGAAAAGGGTGAAAAATTCACCTCCCCCTCCATCTTCAAAGGGAGATTTCTTAAACTGTCCCCTAGTTCTGGAGTCCTGCAGAACAGGACCTAATTCTCCACAAATTCAACTGGGTCTGTGGCTATGACCTGGCATTTCAAAATCCAAGCCGACTCTCTGATCAGTTTGTATTGATCCAACTGCTCATTCTCTCTTGTTCTCCTGACAGATTTGAAGAGCAGTTTAATCATGTACTTAATTTGATAAGTTTAGACATGAGTGTGGCTACCAATGGAGCAAGCACACAGCAAAGGCCCACCTTGTCAACAGTGCCAAGTGCAAGATTTTACCTTGACTTCACTGATCAAGACAAACAGCCTTCACAAGCACGCATTTGGGGTATAGGACATAAGGAGCAGGAGTAGGCTTCTCGGCCCTTCGAGGCTGGCCCACCATTCAATAAATTCATGGCTGATCTGGCCCAGGCCTCAACTCCCCTTCAGTGTCAGCTCATCGTTGCCCTCAATTCCTTGATATTTCAAAAGCCTCTTTAAATAATCAAAGCGATCTAGTCTCCACAAATCTTGCATCAGGAATTCCAGGCATTCACTACCCTCTGGGCGAAGAAATTACTTTGCATCTCAGGTTCAAATGAGTGTCTTCTTATTCAAAACTACGTGCCCTAGTTTGAGATTTCCCCACATCTTCTCATTTTGTCAATCTTCCTCAGAATCTTGTATCTTTTAATAGGATCACCTCTCATTCTTCTAAACGTTAATGAACAAAGCTCCAACCTGTTTAGCCATTCTGAATAAGTCAGTGCCTTCATTCAGGTATTGGTCTCGTGAATATCAAAGAAAGCTGCCTTGAATGCCAGCACATCCACTCTGTCCCAGAGCTCCCGCTGCAGCCTCACCCACACCCTGTTAAGTTGTAAGACTTCCTTATTTTCAAAATCCAACCATCTAGAAATAAAAATTCCGTTTGCCTTCTTAATTGCTTGCTGCACCTGCACACTTATTCTGTTCCATGCTTTTAAAAAAATCCATTGTGCTGCAGATAACAGTGTGTAGAGCTGGATGAACACAGCAGGCCAAGCAGCATTGGCCTGCTGTGTTCATCCAGCTCTACACCCTGTTATCTGAGATTCTCCAGCATCAGCAGTTCCTACTATCGCTGTAACAATTTTAACCCCATTGTGCTGCAGTTTTTTTTAATGTCTCTCTCTCTCATTTTGTTTCTGGTTGGCTGCAAAAGGAACAGAGGGCAATGGAAGGGGCCATTGAATCATCTGCCTAATTCTACACCTTACCCAAAATTCAATTTCATTGACAGAGGGGGAGAATATAGACATGAGAGAGAAAAGAGCTCGGTAGAGATAGAAAGAAAGATGGCATGCATAAAGAAAATTAGACAGGCAGAAATAGAGAAGGAATGAGAACAGGAGACAAAAAAAAGGCACCGAGTGAGAGAGTGGAGAGGGAGAGAGACAAAAGAAAATGAGGAACTGTGAGAGGTATAGAGAGGAAATTCGAGCAGGAAAGATAGTAATAGGGACAGAAATAGTCTATGTGGAGAGAATGAGAGGGATTGAGAAACAGGAGAAAACAGAGCCAGTCAGAAAGAGACAGAGAGGAAGGTGAGTGAGACGTAGAGTATGTAGGAAACAGGGTAAAAGAGACAGAAAAGTGAAAGAGACAGAAAAAGATAGTGAGGCACAGAGATCAATAGGAAGAGGGGCAGACAGATGTAGAGATGTACAATGAGGGAGGAGGACAAACAAACGATTGACAGAGAGAAAGAGATGAAAGGAGAGAGAGAAACCATGTTACTATGAAGTCCTGACTTAATACTTACTATACATACATATTATCAGTGATGTGGTGAAAATACCTGAACATGTCATAGATTAAGAGCCTTTCTGAGGAAATATTACGTCTATGAGCAAGAAGAATAGGTGATTGTTGGTGTTTACTGATTTATTTCCCTTTCTTCACCAGTTTGGTGCAATTAAATGTACACTAGCATATATTTCTTTTGGCTTGTCTTGTAAAATATAGTTGAAATAACCTTTATAAGTACATGAAATCCTTGTTTGCAAATATTTCCCAGTAAATAATGATCCATCAGCACGTTTGGGAGCCTGAAGCATGGTTGGAATGAGCATAATTATGAAAGAAAACATTCTGTAATGTACACAAACCACTTGCACTAAGAGATGACTGTCTACCTGAATCCTATTTCCCAGATTTTTCCCTACGTCTCCAATTCTTCCAAATGACTAAATAAATTTCTTTAGAAGGATGTTAGATGTCCCAGAAGTTGGCAAGTGGTCAGAAATAAGTCTTTGATGATAATATCAACCCAAATATTACATGGGGAGAACATAAAATATGTGTGTGTGATACAAGTATTCCTAAATTTGGAAATAATGTCTGAAATTGCACGTTTGTGCTGTAGGGATGTGTATGTGAAGCCAATATGTCTTCAGCTGTGATAACAGAATTCCAATCATGTTGCAGATTCCCTTTAAGCAATCCCCTTGGATTGAGGAAGACTTGTTTCCATTATAGTTCTGTAAGTACTGAGATGGTTGTAAATCTCATGTGAGACTTTGCCTCGTGGAAAGGTGATGTTGATGTGTCGGCTCAGTGGGTTGAACGATAATACGCTTCCTCCAACTCCTTGACTTTGCCTTGGCCTGTCGCCAATAAAGTCTCCCACTGTGTTTAGTGCCCTGGTGGGAGCACCTTCTCCATTTCAGTTGGTCACACGCCAAGGACTCCCATGAGTCATATCTCCTCAGGATTGCAATGAGGACAACGAGGACTAAACCGTACCCATTGGCCTCCTGGGAGTCTTCGACTGCAACCAATTTTGAGTACAACAGTTGCTTTGGGAATCTGGTGCCAAGCATACAATCAACTGTCCAGCCCAGTGGACCTGGTTTTCAGTGACTTGCGCCTCAAGGCTGTGTGTGGGGTTCCATTGTTCTGTGTTTCATTATGAGAAACTGGGAACATAACGTGCTCACCTGGCTTGATTGGTTACACATGGATGTTGACTCCCAGATAAGTAAAGAGACAATGTGCAAGCTGAACAGGAAACAGAAGGTCAGGTTTTACAGTCCTCTGTCAGTGGGTTTGTGAGGGGAGGCATTCTAAAATTCCTCTGATCACCTTCCTGATGGTCTCCCACAAGGAATTTTAGGTGGGATGGTAGAGGCCTGGGTCAACCTGCCTTCTTGGCCTTACTGTAAATGAGGCGCTTGAAGTTGCCAAGACCACTTTAAGGGCTATTTACTGCCTGGCATCAATTTTCAGGAGAAATGTGAGGCTGTCACATAGTTGGGGGAGTTGGAAGGCTGTTGCCATGGGGTTGGGTGGGGTGGAGGTTTTCAGCCCACTACTATTCTACTGCTGAAACTCTCATTCATGACTTTGTTACCTGTAGCTTCAACTATTCGAATTTACTCCTGACTGGCCTCCTACTTTCCACCCTCAGTGAACGCAAGATCATCCAAGATTCTGCCACCGCATCTTAGTTCACAGCATGTCCCATTTCCCTATCACCCCTCTGCTCGCTGATCAACATTGGCTTCTGCTTAAATTCCCAACCCTGACTTTAAATCTCTTCATGGCCTCACCTCTCCTTATCTGTATTATGCCCTGCAGCCTCACAATCCATTCTGAATCAAGCACTCCTCT